TCGGGATTATATACAGCATGATAATATTGGTACATACCATTTTGACGGTCGTTTTTATCAGCATGACGATCGGACCTCGTGCAGCATAAGGGTTCGATTTGTCTAGTCTCCTGGGTAGACGTACCGTGGAGCAAGCTCAACGGACCGTTTTGTCCAGCATATGGAGATCGTACCCCCAAATACGAGCCCAGTGCTGCCCAGTGGGTACCATTCTGCTCAGTCTTCCTCGACAGCCGCCGGCAGATACGGGTAGGCCGGCCGGGCAGCTGCCTCTTTTGTCAGCATAACGGATCGGACCTGCAGCGCCCTAAGGCCCATTATACAGCACATATTATCGGACATAGCTAGCCATAAGGGCCCAATATACCGCATGATTATCGGACATAAGGCCTGTTTACAGGTCATTTTGTACAGCACTATTATCGGACCTCTTGCAGCATAGGCGGGGGTCCTATGTGCATCGCGGGTCGGGGTGCCGAGCGCCTAGGGCGATGTCGGAGCGTTGTATGTCGGTGGACGTACCACGGCTCCGAGGATTCGTCCTGCATGGATCCGCTACTTCGCAGCGGGAAAGCGATGGCGCATCGTCGTGCCCACGCCCTGCCGATGCTGATAGGGTGTGAGCGTAAGATGCCTATTCTGCGGTTCTGCGCCGATGCCGGGGGCAATGAGGGAAGAACGTGCATACCCCAATGCATTGCGCCGCGATAGGCGACGATTGAGAGCTGCGATCGCGTCCATGGGACGCATCGTCGCTGTGCGTTTCGGTGCGCATACCACACGCTAGCAGCGGTGGGTCTCCGTGCCATGGAAGATATGCCATTCACATGCCCAACGCGCGCATAGCGGCGTGCCGTTATCTATGCGGCGCGTGCGGAAACGGAAGGCGTCTTGGGGGCAGCAACTCACCACAGACCACCACAGGGCGGGCACGCCTTGGCACGGCGTCTTCGCAGAATCGCACGGGCGCTGCACGAGGCTAGCAGACAGGCCTCGCGTCTTCCGCCTTCCGCTTGCAGGCTGCGCAGATAGTCACCGGGTCGCATCGCCCTGCGCTCAGAGCTTCCTCGGGCAGGGCGGCAGTGCGCGGGAGTGGGAGCAGGGTGGCAGGTTCTGCCGTTTGCGTCCGCGAAGATGAGCGCGTACCGCGATAAAGCTCTTAGAATGCGGCGGTGGAGCTGGCCCTGTGCAGTGGGGCCTAGAACGTGGCTGTCAAGCTTGGAAGTGGCGACCAGGCTTCGCCGAGACTGGTCGTAGTCGAGTACCGCGCACACAGCGACGAGACATGCAGAGCTGCGAGCGTCGTTGCCAGCATGAAGGATGGCGGAGAGGACAAGAAAACAATCGTGAGTGGACAGCCATGAAATGAGATCATGGAGCGCAGGCCAAGCGAGGCTAAGCGAGCGAGTGGAAGGGCCTCGCTTACGTTAGCCACGTGGATCGGGGTCCGCACCGGGGTGGTTGCGACCTAGCCGCCCTCCTTCTTCTCTTCCTCCCTCTTTGTCGCCTCGCACCTTTATAAAACCGAGCTGGCTCACGACCCTCACGACCCTCATCCGCCCTCATCGCTCACGACGACGACCACGACGACCACCATGGCTGTAGCTACCCGCGAAATGCTCAACAACCTCATCCCGCCCTCCCTCCGGCGCAACGACCGCCTCGCAATGGCACCCACACGACCACAGTCAGCCCCGGCTGCACACCGCTCCCTCCGCCACAAACCGCGGCCAATCCCCAACTCGTACTGGGCGACGCCCTATCTCGTCGCCTGCGAGTTCCCCTATTGCCCCATCGCCCCCGCCCAGCTCGCCCGCAGACACACCAAGCAGAAGCTAGACGCTCTGCTCCTGGCTGGGGTGCGCACATTCATCGACCTCACCGAGCCGCACGAGCTCTTCCCGTACTCGCCGCACCTCGCGCAGCGCTGCTACGACCTCGGCATCGACCCGCACGAGGTCGAGTACCACAACTTCCCGATCCCGGACCGCTGCCTGCCCGAGTCCGTCGACTTCGTGCGGCGCATCATGCACGTCCTGGGCGACAACGAGCAGCGCGGGCGCACCTGCGCGGTGCACTGCCGCGGGGGCATCGGCCGCACGGGCCTCATCGTCGGGTGCTGGCTCGTCGAGTGCGGGATCGCGCGCGACGGCGACGACGCGCTCCGCATGATCGCGGAGGAGTGGAAGACGGTCGAGAAGTGCAAGCGGTACCCGCTCAGCCCCGAGACCGGGCCCCAGCACGACTACGTGCGCACGTTCGAGCGTGCGGCGTGGATCGACGAGAAGCACGAGGTGCTCTGAGCGGCGGATCGTCGGTGAGCCCAGTCCAGCCTCCGCTCGAGACGGAGCACTGACTTCGTCTAGCTGCAGCCCACGACGATCGCGCCGACTGTACATACCTAATTTATTGCATCGTCTCTCTTCTCCTTCACGCACGCACGACTCGGTAGACCCCACGGACTGCGTCATCGTCCCCACATTTCCCCACATTTCTCTTTTCTATCTTCTCTCTCCATCCTGCTGTATCATTGTTTTCTCCTCGCATATCTCGTCTACTCGTGTCTCTGTCTCCCGCCCGGCTGTTCGCACAGGCGTCGGCATGGGCATAGACGTACGGTACATGTCTTGTATATCCCCTACATCGGTATAGTCGGCATGCGTGCTGGTAATGCGACACCTGAATTTGGAACCGGAATCTCGTACGATGACGTCCAGGCGCCTCCTCGATTAGGCTCGTGAACCAGCCTCACGTTCGGAGGCGGAAGACAATTCGATCGCCCCTTGCACTCGTCCCCCGATGTCGTCCTCGTCCACTCGTCTGCGCTCAGATCTATGTGTATATGCGCCTGAAAAACAGCTAGCCAATCGCCCACGACGCGGCACGGACGGCGCACGCTGCCCCGTGTCGCGTGGGCTGCCCCATATTGCGCCATGGGAGTTTCGCAAGCCTCGCTGATAACGCCGCTATATATACGGCCGCCGGCGATCCCACCGCGCCCTCGACGCTCGCGACCTCGACGATCGCCCATCTCCAGGGTTCTAGAGGGTTAGCGCGACACACCACAGGATGCCTCTCGAGCAGGAGGCCAAACTTAGGCTCCCTTCGCATGTCCGCGACACGGCGGCTGTGGGCGGACTACCGCCACCTGCTGCTCGCCCGCGGTCAAGGCTGAGGAGTCTCGCCCGCGTCCTCGCGGTCTTGACGCTCTCGCTCGCCCTCGTGCAGTATGTACGCATGTACGCGGACGTCGCTGGGGGCGCGGCGCGGAAGACGGTGAATGTGCCGCTCCGCGCGCAGGAGTACCTCGACAAGTGTGCGCTGCTGGAGGTCAAGCCGGGGCCGCCCCCGGACTTCAATGCGCGCGCGCGGTCAGATAGGTTCGTCCCCGGGACGAAGGCGACGCTGATCAAGGTGAGCGGAGGGCTACGAGGCGTTTTGGGAGGGGGGCTGACGGGTGGTAGAACGCGACGATCTGGACGGGGCGCGTGGGCGGGCTCGAGATCTTGCATGGGGATATCTTGCTCGATGCGGGCCTTATCAAACGCGTTGGTGTCATTGAGGAGAGCGAGCTTGAGGCGTATGCGGAATTGGCGCACGTCGACGCGCAGGGCAAATGGGTGTCTCCTGGGTAATCGCTGGTGTCTTATATGCGTCCGTGTTGTGACTGACCGAATGCTTGTGGCTTCGCAGAATCGTTGACCTGCACAGTCACTTGTGAGCCAGCCGCGTCTTTGGCGACTCTGGGCGGAATGCTGACGATCGCGCGTGCAGAGGCGTATACAACAATCCGCAGCTGCGCGGAGCGATGGACGTGAACTCCTTCAAGGGGCCCATACTTCCCGTACGCCCATTTCTCTTCATGCAGCATATAGTCGCTAATGGGTGATACAGTGGCTCCGCGCGCTCGACGGCCTGAACACGCACGACGACGCGTACCAGCTGAGTATCGCAGGCGGTGTCACCGTGAGCATCCAAGTTTGGATCTATGTAGTGCATAGGAAGAGGCTAAGGGCGCAAGCCAGACATCCCTCGTCCTCCCGGGATCTGCGAACGCGATCGGCGGGCAGGGCGTCGTGATCAAACTGCGCCCGCCGACGGACCGCTCGCCCACGGGCATGCTGCTCGAGAGCCCGTACGAGACGAATGGGACGGTCTATGACCCGCGCACGTTCTTCCGCTACCGCCAGATGAAGTATGTTCCCAAGCATGTTTTCGAGTTTATGAACCTCATATGATCACTGGCCAGACACGCATGCGGAGAGAACCCAGGTACAGTGCACACAAGCCCTGCATATACACTGCGTGTGCTAAGTGCTATGATCAGACCGAGTATACTCGGGCACGCGCATGGACACCGCGTGGGCGTTCCGCCAGGCGTACGAAAAGGCGCGGCAGATCAAGCAAGCGCAGGACGCCTTCTGCGCCAAGGCTTCGCAGGGAGAGTGGGCTGGGCTGGGTGAGTTCCCGGAGGAGCTGCAGTGGGAGGCTCTGGTCGACGTCTTGCGCGGACGCGTCAAGGTATAGTTCTCCTGTGCCAGATTGTGGAGGGCAACATCTGAAGGGGGCCGCGTCTGATAGGTCCATAACCACTGCTACGAGACTGTGGATCTGGACGACCTCGTGAGAGTAAGTCTATATGGATACATGCTGAGATATGCTGAGCCGGACGCGCGGCTGACTCCTTCACCGCAGATCACCAACGAGTTCAAGTTCTCGATCGCGGCTTTTCACCATGCGCACGAGACCTACCTTGTTCCCGAAACGCTCAAATCTGCGTATGGTACGCACAAATGCTGCGTGCGGCACTCTGGGCCGAACTGACGTAACGACATAGGGCATCCGCCGGCCGTCGCACTCTTCGCGACGAACGCGCGGTACAAGCGCGAGTCGTACCGCGGCTCAGAGTTTGCGCCTAAGATTCTCGCGGAGAACGGCCTCCAGGTCGTCTTGAAGGTAATCGCCGAAGGTTGAGTTGATATCCTATACAATGTACTAAAACTACCAAGTCGGATCACCCAGTGCTGAACTCGCGCCACCTTGTGTACGAGGCTCAGCAGGCGCATTTCTTCGGCTTGCCGCATAACCTTGCACTTGCTTCTGTTACGACGACGCCAGCGACTATTATTGGGCAAGAGCACAGAATCGGCTTCCTCAAAGAAGGTGGGCGATGTACGGGGTTTCTTCTTTGTGTCAAGCTAACAAGTACTTTTAGGATTTGACGCAGGTACGCTTGCATATTCGACCCGCCAACCTGCGATTGTGCTGATGATGCGACAGACCTAATCCTATGGGACAGCCACCCTCTCGCGCTCGGTGCGACACCGCAACAAGTCTGGATCGACGGCATCGCTCAGCTGGACGCACCCCACATCATCTCAAAACCTGCGGCCCTCCAAAAGAAGCCTGCGACTCCGAACTTTGACAAGGAGGCAGAAGAAACCTTAAAATACGATGGTCTGCCACCGCTCGATCCGAAACCCTCGAAGGCGCGCACTGTGGTCTTCACCAACGTCAGCGCCGTCTACTTGCGGGGAAACGACAGCGTCAGTGAGGTGTACGCGACGCGCACCGCGGCGGGATCAGCTGCTCCTGGCGTCGTAGTCGTGCGCGACGGGAAGATTGACTGCATCGGAGCACCCTCAAGTGCATGCGCATTCTCAGTTACGCGCGACGACGATGCAGACTTCATCGACCTCGAAGGCGGAGCGATATCGCCCGGGCTTGTCTCTACGGGCTCACCTCTCGGGCTAGAGGAGATCCGCTCCGAGTCGTCTACCCGGGATGGCCTCGTCCTGGATCCACTGACAAGTGTGATTCCCGAGATCGTCGGCGGCGAGGGTGCGCTTATCCGCGCTGCGGACGGCCTGCAATTCGGGACTCGCGACGCTCTGTGAGTGGTTATTCTATTCCTTCCAGATTTGCCTCTCATTCTCATCGTGGTATCAGGCTGGCCTACCGCTCTGGAGTGACCTCCGGCATCACCGCGCCTCAATCGGCTGGGTTCCTCGCTGGCCTCAGTGCCGCGTTCTCTACGGGTAGCCGCCACAAGCTCGAGAACGGCGCGTTGCTGCAGGATGTAGGTGCCCTGCATCTGTCCATCAGCCCCGTTGGCGTGCCCAGCGTGAGCACGCAGATCACTGCGCTTAGACACATATTGTTGGGAAAGACGAAGGGGGAGCTCGGACACGCTCTCGACGGCGTTAAGCAGGTGCGAAGATGTGCCGTCCTGGAATATTGGGTGGATATTTATTGATGTTCGGTCTTTTTAGGGAACTACTCCGCTGGCCATCCACATCCAGAGCGCGGACGCCATCGCGTCCGTGATCGTGCTCAAGTCCGAAGTCGAGGAAGCGCTTGGAAACAAGATCAAGGTGACCCTCGTGGGCGCGGCGGAGGCGCACCTGCTCGCGAAGGAGATCGCCCATGCCGGGATTGGGGTCATCATCTCTCCTACGCGGCCGTTCCCGCACCATTGGGAGAAACGACGACTGTATGTTGCCTCATCTTCACGTATATGCATGTTCTGATACGCTGTTTCCTCGTTACAGTCTTCCGGGTCCGCCGTTGTCCGCAAGAAACGCGATCACGGAGCTGCGCGCGCACAACGTGACTGTCGCCGTTGGCGTGAACGAGGCGTGGATGGTGCGCAACACACGCTTCGACGTCGCTTGGGTAAGTCTGTGCCCCATCATTGTGCAGGGAGGAGCGCTGACCGATGCATGGCGGGCGTGTAGGCGGCTCTTGAATCGGGCGGGGCGATCTCCAAGGCGGACGCGATCGCCCTCGCGTCGACGAATGTGGAGGAGTTGCTGGGAGTCAAGACGGACGAGCTGCAGAGCGACCTGGTCGCCACGCGCGGCGGTGACTTGCTTGACTTTTGTAAGGTTGTGGCGGTTGTTTCTCCCCGGCGCGGCGTCGTGGACATCATCTGAATGTATGCGTGAGGTCGTTCACTATATGCAAAGCGATGTTTGCCACAGAACACCAAGCCAACCGATCTTCCAAGTCTCAAAATTGTGCAATCGCAAAGGCCTAAGTCGATTTCTTTCCGTCTCGCCTTTGGTTCGGCAGTATTCGTATGAGGTCTTGTGGCATCTAATCCGGGATCCTCCTGAAATCAACCCTACGTTCAAGAGCCTCGCAAGCTATGCGACGATCGCTGGCGTAGATAGTACAATTGCTGGGTGTCAGTATCTTCGAGCAGAGCCTATCTGGACTTATGTACATCGACAATCGTCAGTCGGACGCAATGGGAGAACATTAGCCCCAAGACATGACATTCTAGCGTTGCCAAGTATCGGAGTCATACAGTTCGAAGTCAATTCGAGGTCGAATCCCTACCGTCCCCTCCCCCTCCTAGTCCATTCGCCACCCTCTCAACCCACTTAGGAAGCCTGGTCGAATTCTCTGAGCATCAGTTGGATGTGGAGACACAGGCGGCGGTGGACCATGGTCGATATCGCCGGCTTCTCCGATCGTGGGGTATACTGCACCGGCAGGCCATGTTCCTCCAGGAATGCCAGTTGCGTCTTCTCCCGTTGCAAACGCTCCTCCGGGATCTTCTTCTTCGAACCCGCATCGGAGCTTGCGCACTCCCACAGTGCCCTCCACACAGCGAGAAGTAACCCCGCCAACGGCGGGCAGTGGTGCTCCATGTGCTCCAGCAGCTTCTCTATCCCAAGTTCGCCCCAGTAGCATCCCAACCCCTGCCCATACGAGAGTCGTCGCCGTCGCGACTGCGCGAGTCCTTCTATACTTGTGGCCGAGAAAATCCGGGCGAACTCGTGCGTGATCTCTGCGTGCGCCGTGCTGTTTTCCGCCTGGAGCCCGGAGTCGTCGATGGTGCGCCGGTAGACGACGTACATGATCACCCAGCAGAAGGATTCTAGGTCGCTCGCGGTCGTATGGGGGATGCAGACCGTCTCTCCGGGGTGCGCTCTAGCTGCTTTCACGATAACATTTAGAAGCTTCGTCGCCATGAAGAACATCGTAACCTGGAAGTGAGGGCGAGTCAGAGTCTTGTAAAATGACGGCTAAGATGTTGGATCACTGGAGTTACGACAGTCTCTCGTGGGATGCTCTGCTGTAGAGAAATGGGTGCGGTGTCCACCCGAGATATCGAGGGGCTCTGCAAATCGAATGAGTCCCTTCTGTTCTTCTGTTACAGATGCGAGCATGCACGTACGGGCCGCTCATTCATCGAGGAGCCTGGGACAGCGGTTGAAGATGGCTCGCAGCCCTCGGTGTCGAGGTCTTGCTCGAGGATGGTCTCCTGAGAGTCGTCGCTATGCTTGCCCAGTATCATAGTCATCCTGATCACGGCAGCGCCGTGCTTCACGAGGCTAGTCTGGATCTATTTGATAAAGCATGAGCAGCCGTACATCCATGGGCCGGGGTTCCGAGAGGATACCAGACGTACAGCCTAACGCGTCGGCAAAGGTAAGTGTGTGCGGGTGCAGAAATCGACTGGGTACGAGGGAGAGTTAGCACTGGTAACCGACTCTTGAACACGCGCATCGGGAACGCGGTTGCAAGGTGTCGCCGCACGTGGCGGCATGATATTGCAGCAACGCGCCTCCAGGACTGTGATGTTCCTCAAGCTAAACGGAAATGGTGCAATGAGCTCTGATAATGAGTACTCACCGACCGAGAAAATGCACCCCGGAGTTAGGCGAACAAGATTGAACAGGATGATTTAACCAAAAGACCGCACCAACCATCAACTCGGATTGCTAGAAGGCTTGCCACGGTTGCGCTCCTGAGCATTTTTAAAATAGATAATCAGTCGTCTCACCCTGAAGCACCCCCCACAGTACTGAACAGTTGTTTACGCGTCCCACAGAGAGGGAAGATCGTACTAGTCACAATGGCGCGTCCGTTTCTTCAGTCGTGCCGCGCAGAGGCCTCTAGCGCTGCGAAGTATCGGAGTCGCCCGCAAGTCGGAGTCAATACAAAGTCGAATCCTTACCGTCCCATACCCTTTCTGCTCCATTCGCCATCCTCCCAAACTACTTAGGAATCCACTTTGCTGAGACGCTCGAGCATTAGTTGAATGCTGAGGCACAGGCGGCGGTAGACTATGGTCGGTATCGCCAGCTTCTTCGATCGTGGGGTATACAATGGCAACGGCAGGCCATGTTCCTTCTGGAATGCGAATTCGGCCTCCTCTTCTTGTATACGCGACTCCGGGATGTTCTTCGAATCCGCATCGGAGCTTGCGCATTCCCGGAGGGCCCTCCACGCGGCCAGAAGTAACCCCGACAACGGCCGGCAGTGGCTCTCCACGTACTCCAGTAGGTTTTGCATCCCGTCTGGGTCTAACACATCACCAACCAAGAGTAGTAGTCGCCGCTCCTGCGCCAATTCTCCCGGGTTCAGGGCTGAAAAGAGCCGGCCAAACTCTTCCTTGATCGCCTCCTGGGTCGCACGGTCCGTCGCTCGCAATGCTTCGTCCTCCAAGGCGCGCCTAAAAACGACATAAAGGATAACCCAGTAGAAGGACTCGACGTCGTGTTCGACAGCGCGGGTGGCCCAAAGCTGTCCGGCGGGGCTCGGTTCCGCTGTTTCCGACATTTTTTTCAGGAGCGACGTCGCCATGGAGAGCATAGATGTCTAACGGCTGAGCGTGAGTGTATGAACGATTCGAACCGAGTAGGAAGGCGTGGTTCGACTTGCCGGAGTGATAAAAACAGCCTCTTGTGGCTGGCTTCGTTGTATGGTGACGGCTGCGGTGTGTTCCCGTGCACTCCACTCCTAACAAAATGCGAGATAAATAGGAGCCGATTCGTTGGAGTGATTCCGTACGCACTGTCACGTTTGCTGCGACAGTTGAAGAAGCCTCGCATGGAGATGCAACGTCAGGGTGTCGCTCAATGACAGTCTTCACTCCCTCAGTGTCTTTGAGACAGCTTTTCGACATCTTGAACACGCCAACTTCGTCAATCGTTCGCACTGTGTTTCACAAGCTTCGTACGGATCTGGCACTGGCAACATGTGAGCGAACATGGGCGGCGACCGCCCGTCATGAGTCGTCGAAAGGATAGTGCACGTACAGTTGGTGGAGGTGTTTATCAGTGCAAAGGTCAACTATTACTGGCAAGGTTGATAACTTGAGAGCCCACCAGCATGCGTATGGGAAACGTGTTGGCAAGGTGTCGCCGCACGTGGCAACATCGTGAACTGCGTTATCTCGTTATGCTGAAAAGTATAACGATACCAGTAACTGGAATTTTGGATACTCACATGAGTAATACACTCGCAACGGAGAGACAGGCTTGGCGGGGAGGCCCACCAAGCACGCATAGAATTTCTCGGAGTCGCGAAGTTCTATGGTCCGCGGTGGAAACATACCTTCAGCCGATGTTCCCTAGAGCATTTGTTAGACAACGGAATACCATTTCACGTGGACAAGAAATGGTGTCGACCGCACTGCCCAGCATGTTGTCTCCGCCTCTTCCACTGTGGTCATGGTGGCGCGCAGAGAGGCGCATCGCGCTGGGCGCCTGTGGCCCGGCCCCTCATCCCCCTGCATTCATGACACTGGACGGTCTATTTGCTGGCACTCTTGGTAACTCACATCTCTGTTTATCGCTATGCTCATCGAGGTCTTCTAGGTAAATACAAGCCTGCCGTGTGCGAAGTTCAGTTCGATTGTAAGCCTCAAAAGCTTCGCTACGTACGGTCATGTCGGCAACCGCAAACCTCCAAACCACCCTACTCGGTGATACACGCTGCCAACCTAGAGGATTGATCAAGAACACATCTATAAAGCAACATTAAGAAGGGTATGGTCGCGGAGGAAGACGCGTTCAAAGGAATGTACGTGAGGTACGTCCATTCATTTCCCCCCCAACTCAATTTGCAACGTACGGCCTTGTTCGAGTTGTGGCGTATTATCCGCTCAGTGATAATGCCATACCATTTCAATCTGTAAAACGATGCGCCGTCCTCGAGGTGTTCAAGTGGGTATCCGGCCCCGGTTTCCCCTCGCTCCGAAGCTCGCTCTGCCTTTAGGCCATGGCTCACATACTCCACCCGGCGCATTGAATGGTGATGGTATGGAATACGACACTCTTCTTCGTCGAGGGCCGTAGTGCATGTATAGCATTCCTTAAGCCCGAGTGCCTTGCTGTTCTTACTCATCTCGCGGCGTTATCCGTGAAGTTCTGCATCATAGCGATCACCTCGGCGGACAAGGGCGCACATTCGAACCAAGCACCTTTTGTAAGGCGTGTCGATGATTTGTAACATCGGTAGTCCTCGATATACTCCATTAGCCTTGTGATCAAGATCAAGTTGCAGTCTGTTCCTGGAAATATCGCCGCCGATCTATGCTGTGGGCATTCTGCACCAATAAGATCGTTCTTGGGTGAGGGAATCGGGATCTTCTTTCACGAGGCTCCTCAGACGCACGGCGGAGACGCGTTCTATGAAAAAGGTCATTCAGCTGAACGATTTCAGATCGTCTACTTCCATGTTGTGATTTTGCGGCGTCTTGGGCGGTGACTAGGAACTGTTTTTCTCGTTGGACCTTGGTTGGCTTGCTCGAGCGTCCGCAAACACACGATGATTTGCGCCTATAGGATTACATTGACCGCCGTGCGCCTGTGTGGTGCTGTGTGGGTCGTGATAAATCGGCGTGGCAAATTCATTCATGTTTATGTGTTGTACTGTTCAATTTGCCGCGGCCGGCAATGTTTCTCCCAGGGTGTTCGTCCCTGCTTGTTCCTTCTGAGTTTTGTCGCCTTTCCACAATGGTGCTTCCGTTCGGATCCTAGCTTTGACGGTACGGGAACCATGAGTAGCCCGCTGACTGCATTAGCGCCCTTGCTCACGGACGGTACTGGAGTCACAGCTCGCTGACGGTATCAGAGCAAAAGCCCCGTATACCGTACGGGAGCCATGACCCGCGGACGGTACTGGAGTAGCAGCCCATTGGCAGTACGGGAACTACGGCCCACTGACCCCGCACGCATCGCAATTGAACGCGTACTCATATATGTTGGCCCATGGTATGTCGGCTCCAAAATAATAGCCTTCCTTCAGCTGTTCACGTCCTGATGGTATTTTTTTATAGTTTCTTCCCGGCCGGCCGGACGACTACCACGTCAATGCGCTCTCCCTACGCCGCGCTATCAGCATAATGGCACCAGACAGTATCACATACCGTAATCAGTGAACCCTCGCCGCCGATCGTCCGCTCTTGGGACGCTTTGACGTAGGCAATGGGGAGTACGCTACGCTGGGAAGCAGGAGCATGAGGATGGATGTAATCGGAGTGGGAGGCTTCGGTTCAGGATGTGGCGTTGTGGCGAAAAGGTGTGACGAGCGGCCGCAGCAGACAATCGAGGTGCGTACAAGGTGTTTTCCATGTTCTTAGCTGCCCCCATGGCGTCCTTCGTCGTGGCGGCCTCGGTGGGGCCGATCTCGGCGAATGTGGCGAGCTGTCGGAGAGCGAGGTGCACAGTGGCGCGGCGGTCGAACAAGGTTGCCGGGACCAAGTAGCGATGAGCAGGTCCCGCGATTGCGGGATAGGTCAGTGGGTAGTTGGGGGAGAAGCTACGTGAGGGAGGACAAGGAGCGATTCGAACAAGAGGGGCGTGTGCGCCGGGATTTATACCTGTGCGCCACAGTTCGCACTCTGCCGCGACTTTCCGGTCAGCCGCCATTGTGTCTGGGTCCGCGCCTTATCGTAGTCCATTACTCACTGCTTCTAGCGTAGACCTAGTGCCAACAGCCAGCCTCTCGCATGTTTCCACCGAAGACATAAGGCTGACCACTCGCGCGCCGGGCCCGACGACACCATCGCCGACATGACGCCTCCGGAGCAGTGTGGCGCACGCGCTCGTCCCCGCCGATTCTCCCCCATCCCTTCACTATCTACACATTCTCTTCGGCTGACTGCGATCGAGTGGCGTAGTTAGTTGAAGTGAGGATGATCGACGCCACAACGGCGCTGTGGCTGGCGTGCGCCACAAATATTGACGCTGACGCGCGACGCGTCGAGCACGTGCACGGCGCTAACCGCTCTCCTGCCGCGCGCCCAGAGGCCATAGCCCCTTGAACCTGTACCATCGTGAGTCCCTTTCTCCCTCACTCAAAGTGATCTCCGCGTGGACTTTCGGTAAATATCTTACCTAAATTTCCAAAGTAAATTGATTTTAGCGATTTCGAGTTACGCATCATGGAAAGCGGTGGACGACACCCTCAGCTCTACTTTTTAGACGGCGACGTTGTCCTCGGCGCACCCCTCCTTTGTTCCCTAGACGGGAAAGTAGACCAATACCAACTCTATCGCGTGCATAAGGCATATCTCGGGCACCACTCCGTGTTCTTCGCCAATCTATTCGCGGACGGGAGCGCGGGCCTAGGGCCAAAGTACGACGGCCAGCCTCTCGTTGAGGTGCTTGACAAGGCCGAAAATTTCTCCCGCCTCCTCACCTACCTATACAACCCTTTGTAAGTGCATCAATAAGTGCACAGTGTCATTATATTGACTCTTGAGCTCCCAGCGGGCCTCTGTTCAAACACTGGAGCCCTGACGCCCCTATGTCGCTTACCCCTATCATCCGCCTCGCCGACAAATATCTCATCGAGAGCCTTCGGACGGCCCTCATCGAGCAGGTCACCTCCGACTGGCCATGCACGCTCGCCGCCTGGGACGCAAGTGAAGGCGAGGCCAACGCAATACGAGACACCTACAAGCGGAGCGTCGTATCCAATTCGCACGCGACACGCTTCGCCGACCAGATCCCCGAGCCCGCCTCAGCCATCGTCTTCGCGCGGGAGTTCGCGTGCCCCGAAATCCTCCCCGCCGTCTTCTACCAGCTGTGCCGTATCGGCATCAAGGAGGAGTTTGAGCACAGGGAGAATTACTACCCCACCCGCAGCGGACGGCTCGCGTGCTGGGCGCTGCTGGGCCGCGAGGACCTCACGCGCTACCTCCACGGATGCGATGCGCTCGAGACGTACTGCAAGGAATTGCGGAGGAAGTTCGCAGAGGGGGACTCGGTGGCCGAAGGCTGCGTCCCGATGTGGGCGCGCCCCGAACTGGGGCCGACGCGCGAGGACGAGAAGGACCGGACGGGCTGGCCGTGCTACGCGTTCGCGGAGCGCATTCTGCAGCTTGCGTGGCCCGAAGACGGGGAGCGCGAGCCTCTTGAGGGGCTGCTCAAGCTGCTCGAGTACGAGAGGCTGCCGGATGTTAGGAAGGACCGCCCGCGTGGGTTTTGTGAGGACTGTGATTGGGGATTTCACGGGTGGCTCAGGGCGGAGCGGCAGATGCTTTGGGATAGGCTCCCGGAGCTGTTTCAACTATCATGATTGCAAGCTCCACGGACTCCGAGATCATTACAGAGGTGCGTGAGTTGGACATGCCTCTTGAATATTACTGAATTGTATCAACAGTGCACGTACTACATCGTTGTTTGAGAGACTAGTCCGCACTAGCCCCGATGCTACTAAAGAGCCTAGTGGATGTATGACATCCCTGGAGTCCAATGTTCACTGGTGGCGTCTTCCGTGAATTGTTCCTGCTCGGCGAGCGCCTTCGTGGAAACGGGCGAAAAGTCTAAGAGATACTCACTCAGCCCCGATACCGGGCCCCAGTACGACTACGTGCGTTGAAGGTGCAGCGCAGATCGACGAGAAGCATGAGGTACTTTGAGGGCGGGTCGTTGGTGAGCCCTGTCCAGCCTCTGCGCCATTGTGACACCTCTGCGGCTTCAGTTCTGCCTATGTCGACAAGAAACGAGCTCACGGAGCTGCGCTCCCACGACGGGATGGTGGCAGTTGGCGTGAACGAAGCATGTTCAGCCCGCAATACGCTCTTCCACGTTAATTAGGTCAGTCTGAGTGACGCAACATCACTGCGAAGAGCGCTAACGCGCCCACTTTGTAGACGGCACTCGAGTACTATAGGGCAAGGCGATGTGCAAGGCGAATGCGCTCGCGCTCGCGTCGACGTATGTGGAGAGGCTGCTTAGAGTCAAGACGGAATATATGCAGAGCCACCTGGTCGAGACGCACGGTGGGGACCTGCTCGATTTTAGCACGGTAGTGACTTTCGCGTCTCCTGGGCGGCTGTGCGGCGTGGTGGTTTCGTCAGAGTATGTGCGAGATCATTCATTCCATGCAAAGCGACCTTCTTCTGATTGACCCTGATGCAGGTGTTCGCTGAAAGGACAGACAAACCAAGTTCCGGCCATGCCACCATGATCATAACTGCATGATTCAGAATCACAGGTTTATACATCCATATATCCCAGCGCCTACGGCCAGAAGTCCCTTTCCCCGCCAGTCGACTCTTCGTCCACCCGATCCGCTCAGAAAGCCACATCGAGCTGTTCGAGCATCCGGTTGATAGTGACGATTAAATCACAATGATAGATCGCCTCCGACTCCTCCGGCCGTGGGCTGCACTCCGACTGCGGTAGGCCGCGTCGCCGTAAGTCTTCGTTTAGTGCCGTCAATTCGGCCTGTGCGTATGCGATATGCCATTCTGGGACTTCCGGGGGAATCCAGCTTGCGCACTCCCGAAGTGCTCTCCACATGACCAGGAGTAAACCCGCCAGCGGCTTGCAGTGTTGCTCATGGTGGCGCAGTAGCTTCCCCATCCCCCGTGCGGCTATCACATTCCCACTCAGTAGTCGTCGTTGTCGCTCCTCCGCCAGTTGACTTGTGCTTACAGCGAAGAAGAGCGAGTTGAACTCGGCCCTGATCGCCGCGTGTGCTACGTCGCGAGCTGGTTGTTCCTCGTCCTGGAGTGTGCGCCTATAGACAACGTATAGAATCACCCAATAGAAGGATTCGAGATCTTGTTCGACGGCGCGGGTGATCTGAATTCTGGGGTTCCCTACAACGGCCGCTTGCGAGATGGTATGAAGGATCTTCGTTGCCATGAACATCATCGTTCCCTATACCAGGTTTTGATTGACAGTTATTGAAGGCTGGCGGTCAGGTAGAGATAGAAACTCACTCCAGTTACGAGGACCTCTCCCGACCGACTCTCCTGTTGAGATTCGGCAGCGATAGATTCCTGGGAGTTCGAAGGCCACTAAACGCGGGACGCATTTTAGTGGTTGATAGGCGTAAACATCGCCATGTACGCACGAGTTGTTGACTCGTCGGAGAGTCGATGCCAGAAGCGGAAGAAGGAGCGTAGTCCTTAGTGCAGGCATGTTGCTCGATAGAAGCTCTAGACGCATTGCTATGCTTGTTGTATGTTGCAGACATCGTACTGGCCTTGGCGTTATTAGCTTTCGTAGTCTGGATTGTACTTCACGAGATTCGTGCAGATCTACGGGGGCGAAGTGTGAGCAACGTGCGCCGTCCATACATAACTTACCGCCGTGAGTGTTCGAGAGAATAGCGCACGTACAGCCTAACACACCAGCGAAGGTGAACCAGTGTGTTTGAAAGAGTAAAGAGATCAAAAACCGTAAGACAGAGAGTTGTTGAAGGGCCTGCGTATGAGAAACGCGGTTGCAAGGCGTTGTGCAGGTGTCACCGCACGTGGCAACGTGTTACAGGCAACGGCCTCCGCAAGCTGCGATGTCTGAACACGCTAGGTAGTGAACATCCGGATCGCGCTTATCATTGTCATTCACCGAAATGATACACCAGCAGTGAGGAATATATAGGTCAGCGAGGAGACTACAGGTACCGATGGACTCGCCATGGTGGCACTTCTACCGTGGCGATGTGGCGGCCCGGGTGGCATTCCTAAGAACGTTTTGCACAGGGAGAAATTTCCTGGTATACATCGCAAAGAGGTATCGAAGATCGTACTGGTCATACTAGTCACAATGGCGCTGCCAGTTCCTCAGTCGTGACGGTAGAGAAGAGCAAGAGGAACATATAGGCGCCCACTGCACAAACAGCATCGGCTTTCCCGGGCCGTTACCGGCCCCGAGAAAGTCGGGTAGGCCGCAGGCGTCTAATCCCACTCATCCTCCTGGATATCCATGGCACCGGACAGCGTGCTTGCTGGCATTCTTGGTAACTCGCAGCTTATTCTATTGCTATGCTCGTCGAAATCTTCTAGCTAGAAAATACAAGCTTTCCGTGTGCGAAGTTCGACTGGATTGCAGGTCTCAAACACCAAGTCGCCACGTACTGTTCTGTCGGCAGCCGTAACCTTGGCCGCACCGCCTTGCACCGTAGCTCTGCGGACCAAACCCTGGTTAAAGCTACTGTATATAAAGCATACATTGCAAAGATGCGGATGGTTGCGGCAGATAGACCCACAAGCGAATGCACGAGGTACGTTTCCTCATTTCCTTCTGCACTCGGTTTGCGCCATGTGGCATGGCCCTAGAAGAAGCATCAGACACATCTGAGCGGTCATACCATGGCATTGCCATTTTTTGGGATGATTTCCTGTCTTGAAAATGTTCAAGTGGGTAACCATCTCCGGTTTTCCCTCGTTCCGAAGCTCGCCTCGCTAGGCGAAGGCTCGCATGTTACAGCGAGCGTGTTGAATTGTGGCTTTCGAGAGAATGGCGCTCTTCTTCGTGGAGGCCTGTAGTGCATGTGTGGTATTCGTAGAACTCAAGTTCCTCGCGGTTATTGTTACACTTGCGGCGTCTGCCACGATCTTTTGCAGAGCGACAGTCACATGCGCAGACGAAGGCACGCATTTGAGACATCTTCGACGATGTGCGCCAATGTTTTCTAACGTTCGTGTCCCTCGTTGTGCTCGATCAACCTTGCGATCGAGTTTGAGTTGCGTGCTTTTCCTGGAAATATGACCGATCAATGTTGCGGGTACTCCGTACTAGGAAGATCTTTTTTGGGCAAATGAACTTTGGTCTTCTCCAAGGTCGCCGTGACCAGGCTGCGTTGTGCATGATGAAAGCGACCAGCCAGCCGCGCTATCCCAGATCGCCTGCCACGCTGTTTAGGAACCATTTTCCTCGTTTGACCTTGGCTGGTATTTCGAGTGTTTGCAAACTTACTTAACACACGATTCTCTGCGCCGACAGGGCGATATTGACCGCCGTCCACGCCTATGTGGTGTCGTAATCCAAGGGCGTATTCATTCGGGTCCATGTGTCGGGTCCAAGTATCATGCAGTTCAATTTCCAGGGGCCAGCGGTATTTTGTCCAGGGTGCTTGCCACTGCTTGTTCCTTCGGAGTTCCATTGCCTTCCCAAGGTGGCGCTTCTGTCCTGCTTCGGGCCTTGACGGTACGAGGACCAAGAGTAGCCCGCTGACTGCACCAGTGCCCTTACTCACGGACGGTACTGGAGACATAGCTCGCTGACGGTATTGGGGCAAAAGCCCATGTACCGTGCGGGAGCCATGACCCACGGACGGTACTGGAGTAGCAGCCCGCGGCAGTACGGGAGCTACGGCCCCCTAACCCCGCGCGCATCGACCCCGCGCGCATAACAATCGAGCGCGTTCTCATGTATGTTGTCCAATGGTATGTCGGTTCCACAACAGTAGCCTTCCTGCAGCTATTCGAGTTCTGATTGAAGTTGCTTATAGTTCCTTGCTGGCAGGACGTGCCGCCGCAGTGCGATGCCTGTGCGCCGCGCGATCAGCATAATGGGACCAGGCGGTATCACATACCGTGACCAGAGAATCCTCGCCGATGACCGTCCACTCTTGGGCAGCTTTGACGGAGGCAATGAGGAGTACGCCACTCTGAACGGTAGCAGGATGAGGATTGTGTTGATCGGAGTGGGAGGCTTTGGGTCGGATGTGGCATCGTACCGGAAAGGTGGGGCGAGTGGCCGCGTCGGACAACTGAGGTGCGTACAAGGTGTTTTTCATGTTCTAAGTGTTCCCCAGGCGTCCTTCTCCGTTGCGGCCTCATGAGTCGACCCCCGTGAATGTGGCGAGCTCTTAGAGAGTGGGGCGCGCAGTGGCGCGACGATTGAAAGGGGTTCGCTTGGACCGAGTAGCGGTGAACACGTCCTGCGACAGCGGGAGAGGGCGGAGGAAAGGCTGAGGGCAGCTACACGGGAGAGGACAAGGGGCGATTTGAGCAAGAGGGGCGTGTGCGCGGGGATTTATACCTATGCGCCGCAGTTCGCACTCCGCCGCGATTTTCCGGTCAGCCGCTATTGTGTCCAGGTCTGCCTCTTATCGCAACATATCACTCACTACTTCCAACGTAGATCTAGTGCCAACAACCAGACTCTCGAATGTTTCCATCGAAGACTTGAGGCTGACCGCTCGCGCGTCGGGCCCGAAGACACCCTCCGCCGACACCCAGATCAGTGTGGCGCGCGCATCCCTACCCGCCGATTCTTCCCCATCCCTCCAAGATCTACACCTTCTCTTCGGCTTACCGCGATCGAGCTGCATAGTTGGTTGAAGTGAGGATGATCGACGCCACATCGGCGCTGTGGCGAGCATGCGCCACAACGCGACATTGACGCCGACGCGCGACGCGTCGGGCACGTGAAGGGCGCTAACTGTCCTCCTGAGGGTCGTCGCTCCTTAGCCTTGTACCGGTGAGTTTATTTCGCTCGCCGCTCGCTGAGCATCACTATGTCTGTTTATAACTCTTACTTATCAGCATACTAAAGGTTTATAGCTCAAAACGGTCTCGAGCTACCCATCATGAACTCGGAAAGTGGCGAACGACATCCTCAGCTCTACTTTCCGGATGGCGATGTTGTTCTTCGCGCACCCCTCCTTCGCTCCCTGGATGACAAAGTGGAGAAGCACCAACTTTATCGCGTACATAAGGCACACCTCGCCCATTACTCTGTGATGTCCGCCAATATGTTCGCCGATGGAGATGCGGGGCTAGGTCCAACGTACGACGGTCAGCCTCTCGTCGAGCTGTCTGACGAGGCAGAAAGTCTATCTTGCCTCCTCACATACTTCTACAACCCTTTGTGAGTCCATTGATACGTCCACGCTGCTGTTATACTAACTCGCGGACCCCAGTGAACCTTTGTGCACACGCTGGGACCCCAACGCCCCTATCCTGCTATCCCCTGTCATCCGCCTCGCAGACAAATACGTTGTTGAGGGTCTCCGTGCATCCCTCATCAAGCGCGTCGTCTCCGACTGGCCATGCACGCTCGCTGCCTGGGACGCCAGCGAAGGCGAGGCCAACGCGATCCTCAAGCATCGTGTGCTGTCTGGTACCAACACGGGCCGCTTCGTCGACCAGATCCCGGAACCCGCCGCCGCCATTGCGTTCGCGCGCGAGTTCGGCTGCACAGAGATACTCCCCGCCGCGTTCTACCAGCTGTGCCGCATCAACATCAAGGAGGACTTCGAGCAAACGGACCATTCCTATCTCAAGTACAAGCGGCTCGCGCGGTGGAGCCTCCTGGACCTCGAGAACATCACGCGCTACCTCCATGGGCGCGAAGAGCTCCGGACCTACTGCAAATATATCAGGCGTGCGTTCGACGAGGGAGAGCCGCTGTTTTACGGGTGTATCCCGTATTGGGCGTTCCCTGATTGCCCGTGGGTGGTACCGGAGGAGGAGAAGGATCGCAGTGAGCGGCCGTGCTACGCCTTTGCAGAACGTATCCTGCAGCTTGCGTGGCCCGAGGACGAAGAGTGCGACCCCCTCGACGGACTGCTTAGGCTCCTCGACTACGAAAGCCTACCCGAAGTCAAGAAGGGTTATCCCAAAGGTTTTTGCGAGAAATGCGGCTGGGAGTTCGGCGAGTGGCTTAGACGCAATCGGCAGGGTCTCTGGAATAGACTACCACAACTCTTTCACCTATAAACATAATCGCACTCTCCGCGGACTTGCACGCACCACACTGTAACATTCGGGATTGGTTCGCGGCGGCCCCGCGCTTGCCCTGGCGTTCTAAACTGTCGAACATTTATTGATCACCTATCATGGATGTTCGAACGTTCGAAAGTAGATTAGTCACGCAAGTAGCTAGTACGGGGGAATCAAACGCCACGCTCACCGGGACCGGCCTCCGAGTCAGGCTTAATTGAGGCTGTGCGCAGAGTCCGGCGCTAAAAGAAGCGACATGGAGCGCTATGAGCGTTGTGGCGACTCTGCTCTGCTCTGCTCTCGCCCTCATATCCTTATACCTATCTGGCACAGTCGCCGCGCAATACATCCAATTCCATCGCCGTATCATCGCCGCAGAGACATGGCTGTTGAGGAACGTCACCCTCGGCTGTATTTTCCTGACGGCGACGTCGTTCTCCGCGTCCTCGTTTCCGACGGATGCAAACTTGCGGAAAACGACTCGATGGACACGAACTCCGAGTCAGGCACCGTCAAGAAGTACCAGCACTTCCGTGTTCACCAGCTCCTACTCAAGCTTCATCTGGTCGCCTTCGCCAACCTATTTGCCGACGCCACAGCTAGCCATGAGCCGAAGTACGACGGACAACCCCTTTTAGACTTGCCGGACAGGGCGGAGGACCTTGCGCTTCTGTTAGAGATGGTATACAACCTACCGTACGCGAGGCTATATGGGAATCAGGGGAAGGAGTGTTTACGGTATCTATTTTAGCTCGAATCCTCTACGCAAACAGAATCCCCGCAAGGCAGTCGAACTCTCTGGCGTCATTCGTCTCGCGGACAAATACGTCGGTGATGAACTTCGAGCACAGCTCATCCAACACGTCACGGAGGGGTGGCCGACGACTCTTCACGAGTGGGACGTCCGGGAGGGAGAAGCAAGCGCCATCACCACATCACTGGCCCGCACAAACCGCCTTAGGCGTCGAAGTACAGGTCCATACCTCGCCGACGTCATGCCCGAGCCGGCCTCCGCGATAATGTTCGCCCAAGAGTTTGGATGCCATGAGATCCTCCCCGCAGCGTACTACCAGCTGGCCCGCATCAGCGTCAAGGCTGACTTGGACAAGCGTAATGCCGACCGTTCACAGCGCCTCGCTCGATGGTCTGCACTAGACAACAGCAGCCTTCTTCGTCACCTCCACGGTCGGGAAGCCCTCGAGGAGTACTCCGACAGTTTTGCTCGACTCGATTACGGTCTTGGCAGTACACTGGATAGCGCGTGCGTTCCTTGGTGGATCACAACTCCGCAAGTGGTTCCGCAGTCGGTGATCGACGCGGACACGCGGAAGTATCCCTGCTACGACTACGCAATGCGTCACATCGACACAGTGTGGCCGGCCAAGGACTATCGCGACCCCCTGACGGGATTATCCAAGATTCTCGACTACAAGCGCGCCGACGAGGACAATGAGGACGGGCTGTGCGAGGAATGCCAGAGCACATTCTCTGAGCGAGTCATATCCGAGCGCTTGAGACTCTGGAAGAAACTTCCGCACTTCTTCCAGCTAAAGGAAGGGTAGTATGGTGAGCAAAATAACATCGTCTTATATGGTACCGACGTCAACCAGGTCTGCGCATGAACAGGGAACAGAGACTCACACAAAGTCAGTATCACCGGCAGGATCATGACGATAGACACTCACCGACGATACCTAGCCGCTACAAGTGTCCTTCGTCGTTATGCGTCATCTCTCAGTGCTCGCTGCCAGGAATACATTTCTTCAACATACTCTTGTGGCACAAGACTCGGGGTTCGAGCTTGCAAAAGTCTGTTTCCGTCAGCTCCGCGCAGCGTGCCTGGCAAGTCAGTTCTCACGAGTTTGATGGCCATGCTAAGATGCCGACGAAGCTCTTTCTCTCTACGCCTCCGAGTCTACGCCCAACCGCGTCTCTACTTACGGGCCACATACACTCGCTCATAATCCTCAGCTTACAGGTATCTCTCTGGCCGGTCACCTTGCGCTAAACACACAATTCGAGCTTGATCAGATGTCCGAAGACGTCGAAAGGCACTCTGAGCTCTACTACCCTACAGGAGATGTCGTACTTCGCGCTGCTCTCCCATCCGCCCAAGGCGGCGCGCCCAGATTTCAGATGTTCAGGGTCCACAAAGTAATCCTAGGCCTTCAATCTGACGCCTTCTCAAACTTGTTCGCCGACGCGTCTGCTGGTCTTGGGCCGACCTATGACGACGTGCCGATGGTGGAGATGCCGGACAGGGCGGAAGATCTATCAGGTCTTCTTGATTGCGTTTACCACCCATCGTGAGTACTCAGACGTTGGGACTCAGACAAGATTTCTCTCTGACGATCTGTAAACTCATCAGCCATTACTACCTTTCTCGGCGGACTCGGCGCTACAAGACCGCGCTCGAACTGAGCGGTATCGTTCGCCTTGCGGACAAATACCTGCTCGACTCTCTCCGAGCCAACCTCGTGCAGAGAGTCATCGATGAATGGCCCAAAGATCTCCTCGAATGGGACATACGTGAAGCGGAGCTCGAGAAGATCAAGACGGCCATCATGTGCGGATCGTCGGAGCAGAGCCAGCACTTCATGGACTGCATGCCCGAGCCCGCGTCCGCAATCATGTTCGCCGAGGAGTTCGGATGTCACGAAGTACTCCCCGCTGCGTTTTGTTCCCTCGCACGCGTCAACGTCCATGACAAGTGGGAAGACATCCCTGCGGACGGCGGCTACACAAGCATGCTTTTCGCCAGATGGACACTGTTGGATAGCAAGAACCTCTTGCGGTTCATCCGCGGGTGCGATCATCTGGACAACCATCACGCGATGATTTCACGGTCCATCCAGAATGGGTTGATGCTCAGTCCTTCCTGCGTCCCTTGGTGGACGTCGGAGAAGCCCTTGGACCCCTCCCGCGCTCGTGACGATGAACCATACCCGTGTCTCCGCTTTATCAAGAGGCTGCGAGACGCCGCTTGGACCTACGAACGCGACCCAATGGGCGGGTTCCAGAAACTTCTCGACCGCACAAACGCCCCGAGGCCTTCGGATGCCTTCTTGCGCGACCTCTGCGCGCCCTGCCATGGCGCGTTCCGCCATTGGGTCCTGGATCAGCGCGAGAGCTTGTGGGAACAGATTCCGCACATCTTCGAGCTCGAACAGTAGGTATGTTAATCTGCCCTCGAGTTGGCCTTTGCCTCTTCTGCGCTCGGTTTCAACGTGGCTGACTGGCGCGAATCGCTTTACAGAGCGATCTTGCGCATGGTGGCGCATACCCAGTTCCACTACCGACTCGATATCTTCAGTGACTATCATGCCGACATGTACGACATTGACCTGCTGGGGGCTTTATGTAGGACTGCGTGGAAGCGATAGCATGCTGGGCTCTTTGATTTATAAGGTAGTATGCGCGGATAGTGCCGCTCCTTCTCCTTCGTTAAAACCTTAACCTTTATACGCTCATCTGCAATTACTTGACACAGGGAAGCACAATGACTTCGTTGTAGGAAAAATGCAAGCAAATAGATGGCATGCTTCGCGCGGATGACTACGACCGATACATGAGCACGGCGATACATAGCAAAGTAGTTGTACAAGATGACGAGAGACTCGGATGCGACCGCTTCTACCCGTAGATAACCCCGATTTCGGGCTGGATGGAACCCTTGGAGGGGAAGGCGACGCTCATCAGGACCAGACGGTCAAACTGGACGCTCGAGCCATCCCGTCCGGACAGAGGTGTGCCCTTTGCTTCGGCTTCCTTCTACCACTCAAGTCGCGTCAGCGCTGAGAACCTCAAGGGAGGGCGGGTGCGTTACCGTGAGTGCTTTCATCTCGTTGGCAATGTGACGTGCCAGTTCTCCACGGGTTATACTTCGCTGGTCGGCGCCAAATCTCACGGTGAATTGAGGACGCCTCGGCTTGTACTCAACATGCAGAAACTAGCCCCGGCGCCCAGCTATATCAGCGAACATGGCCTCAGCCAGCGTATGCATATTAGCACACGCACCTGCAGCCGCAATGAAAGCTTCTGGCTGCCTACTATCGAGCTATCATACGCAGGGCCCCCATAGTTGTCGACTACGGCCGTGTCCGTCAAGATATCGGACAGCCGAATGTCACGGTAGTAGACAGGGGGATGGTATGGTTCTTTATCTCCGTTGTAAGGAGTCTGGTAAAGGACCTGTAAGAGGGGATCATTCAATATCGGACTTGCGTAATGCAGCGCTGCATTGTTTCCATACCTCAATGCGACGATCTGGGCCATTGACGTTGGGCGAGGTGTCGTCTCCGGCAGCATTGTGGTTGTTCGGAATCCGAGACATGAATAGCCACTTCCTCCCCACCTTGTCATTGCCCTTCACATATTCGATCTTGTACCCGTCAGCGGTGAAAAACGTCGCAATTACACCCGCGGGGAAGTCCGATTCCTGGGACCATTAAGATATGTGAACAATATGTGAGCGAGGTCGCGGCGGCGACAAGGAGTTGAGACATACGGTTATTTGTTTGTATGTACTCGCATCGAACGAGAAGTCGAGCGCTGGACTGTGGGCAACCTGTATGGTGTACTTTCCGCCGCGCTCCTTCGCGTAGGTGTACTTCAGGTTCCCGTCCATACTTTGCGTGACAACCGTGGCGAGAGGAAACACCTCGTCGGTGTCCTTTAATCAATTATTGTCAGCTCCACTGTTCCGCACTGCACAGCAGTGGCCAGACTCACAAGGACGTTACGAGGCGGGTTGAACGGATCCGAGGGGAGTTCGACGCCAGCCATTGTGTTGAGGGGATGCCGAAATGATGCATGCTCCCTTCGTTTTAATATCACTGGCTTTGTTCTTGATATCCAACGACAATGAGATACATTGCGGAGGATTTCTGTGAACGCCAGGTATCGGACGTACAGTGGAAAGGCAGATATCGCTCAGCTTAGATTCATCCGGTTCGGCGAATGGAGGAGTGTACACCCGTCGTACGGGATAACACTCAAGTAGTGTGGTTCTCCTGGTACATTTTGTGTCAGTTACCGCAGAGGCCGTCGAAGATATCTTGAATGCCATCCAACGGAGTAGAACTTACACTGTATATCCGAACCGCCGCCGCTAGATATCGATATGACATGTTTCTATATCTTGCAAACTCTCAAATCCAGCACGAGCACGCTGGAGCAGTGCGACTCCAAAGCGCACGGTGCACGAAGTGGTACCTGGGGAACATCTTTTCAGACCGTTGACCTGCGGGTGAGCGTCAGTAGCGAGCGGCATGCGTTCGTTGCGCTCCCACGTGATGGGAAATGTCCCGACAGCCCAGCAGTAGGCGGATACTTAAAGTTTAAGGATATCTCCTTCAAACCACTACTTCCGGGCACATGTACAGTGGCTGTCTATCCGACTCATAATCTGGATATAAGCCGAACTTGACGGAAGCGACGTGCAGGATCCGTACTTACCATCCATCCAGATCTTCGTTATATCCCCAGCTACTAACGTTCGCTCGGCACTACCGACAGTCGTCGTCTCAGCGTTGTACAGAATGGTATCCGGATTTCAAAACAGAGCACGGAGCTCTGCGAGCGAGCTATACATAGCATAGATCCGTGGCCACCAAATGACTCGATACAGTGCTGCAGCGGCGGCATGAAGCCTCGTGGAACGACGATCCAGTCGCTCCGATGGGGCGGAGACAGCGGCTCTGACCATGACTGGACTCGGCCGCGCCGACTGAATGCGCTGCGGCCCTTCTTGGGGACACGGTCGCCATCAGCGCTCGCCGCTTGGAGGGCGCACGGGGCCGCGGCCGCATTAACAGGCCCAAAAGGGGACGGCCGCCCCTAGGTGCACAGAGGACCCCCGCCTATGCCGCCAAAGGTCCGATCGCAAAACCCTCGGATTTGACCACATTTATCAGCATACCTTTTCGGGATTATATACAGCATGATTATGGTACATACCCTTTTGACGGTCATTTTTATCAGCATGGCGATCGGACCTCGTGCAGCATAAGGGTTCGATTTGTCTAGTCTCCTGGGTAGACGTACCGTGGAGCAAGCTCAACAGACCGTTTTGTCCAGCATATGGGGATCGTACCCCCAAATGCGAGCCCAGTGCTGCCCAGTGGGTACCGTTCTGCTCAGTCTTCCTCGACAGCCGCCGGCAGATACAGGTAGGCCGGCCGGGCAGCTGCCTCTTTTGTCAGCATAACGGATCGGACCTGCGGCGCCCTAAGGCCCATTATACAGCACATATTATCCGACATAGCTAGCCATAAGGGCCCAATATACCGCATAATTATCGGACATAAGGCCCCTTTATAGGCCATTTTGTACAGCACTATTATCGGACCTCTTGCAGCATAGGCGGGGGTCCTGTGCACAGCCATCTTCCGACGTGGTTCATCACGGCGCACGGCGATCTGGCGAGCTCGAGGTTCTGTGCGTTGCTTGCCGTCAGGCGACTCTGATGGAATCGAGCACATCTGTGTCGCATGCAGAGGAGCCCCACGGCGAGTCATTCGAAGGGAATGTAGCTGCTGGCGAGGGCAGACGTTGTACGCATGGCGCGCTCGCGACGCGTATAAGAATGAGGTGAGATGAGGGCGGAACCTCACTGCTCTCGGCCTCTCGAGCATCTCCTTTCTACGCACCTTCGCTCACCAGCCGACATGTTCTCCCGCTCTGCCTTGGCTGTTGCTGTTGTCGCCGCCGTTGCCTTTATTGGCGGAGGTGAGATTCACCTTTACCTGTGCTGCAACGAACGCTGATAGATGTACCGTACTCGACAGTGTCCGCGCAGGAGCCTAACTGTGCGCGTAACTACACGGTCGAGCTCGGCGACACCTGCGACGGCATCGCGGCGAAGACGAACACGCCCACGTTAGTGCCCGCTACACACTCTTGGTGTCACGATAGACTTACATGACTGTTCATAGCTTCCAGCTCGAGACGGTGAACGCAGACAAGATCGACGCCGCGTGCGACAATCTTGCGCTAGGCGAGGTCATTAGATTTGCTGCCATCTTGTTCTACAGCCGCTGATCGGATTTTCCGCGCAGCCTTTGTGCCTCGGTATCATTGGCGAGGACTGCGACATCACCCACGTCGTCCAGCCTGGCGACAGCTGCGGCGTGATCGCGCAAAACGCAAAGACGACCCTGGACATCCTGTTGGCCAACAACCCAAACGTCAATGCTGACTGCACGAACATCGGTGTCGGAGAGGTACATACGCCCTTCATATGACGTCTCGTTTGGAGATGTGCTCACCAGTTTGGCGGTCTATCCAGGTCCTTTGCACGGCAGACGAGGTTATCGGGAACTCGACGACGAGTGCAGCCTAGGCTGGCTAACACATTGAGCGTGACACGGGTCTCGAAAATATTTGTTTAAGTCGTTGCGTACTAGTCGAAGAGCTTGAGGTGAGATAAAATGTGAACGTCAACGAGCTCGGAGGTGCCATTTATGATTTCAGTGGCTCATATATGGCCTTTAAACAGCTCACCAGTAAGTGTATCTGGACAAGACGGGTATCAGTGCAACTGGTCAATTGCACAATGTAGTCTCATGAGTGCAAAGATTTCCTTGTGCTACATGTGTATGTCGTGGTGGGATGGTGGTCGCTGGACGGAAAGCGGCGGCTCTCGTTGCAGACGCTCGCGGCTCCGTGATCGTCCGGTCTAGATTACCCTAACCTTAGACGGCGACTTGAAGTATTCGATCATGCGAACTTGTTCGCACTTGCCGCATCCCACGTTCATCCAGCCTTTGTACTTTCAGGACAAAGCAATGCCATGGCGGCAGCCCAGGCTGGGGTGTCTCCGTCACTGTATCTCCTCTAGACGGCCACCTTTCGCAACACCAGAATGGCCCAAGCTCGCCAGCACATCTCTCCGGCGGAGAAGGGCAGCACAAACGACTCAGAACTCGGCTCAGCCCGGCCGCATTTGCTCAGACGAGACCCGGACATATGGTTCGAAGAAGGCAGCATCGTTATAGTTGCCCAGGACGTCGGGTTCCGCGTACAGTCTCAGACAGCGCGTACGATATGATGTGTGCGCTCCGCGCGCTCTACGACGGCCACAAGTACGTGTCTATGTTGCTGAGTAGCCGTATCTTCGTTCAAACTCGCCCCTTAGGTACCTCAACGGCTTGTCGCCGTACATACCCTTCTCCGTGCTCTCCGCGCTTATGCGCCTGGGACACAAATATTAGCTCCAAGACATCATTGACGATGCGGCGCGCTACCTCGAGGATTACTTCACTACCGACTTCAACATCTGGCTCCAGTATTGCCGCGAAAAAAAGGACGAGGCGTTCGACTTCTCGGAAGACGAGGCCGCGGACATATTCGAAGCCGTCAACCTCGCACGTCTGACCGGCAAGGTGTCGATCCTGCCGCTCGCGTTGTACAAGTGCTGCCAACAAGATCTCGCCGCGATCATGTTCGGGATACGGCGGAAGAACGGCGACGTCGTCCATCTTAACCAGGAGGACGTCGAGCGCTGTGTCCGTGCGCGCGACCGGCTGTTCAGGGAGTCGTGCAGGATGATCGACACTATCACCGGCGCGCCCGCCGAGCGTTCTCCCCGCTGTATGACCCATAGCGCTTGCTCGCGGCAAACGGAAATTCTCGTGGAGTCGTTCACCGCCATGTTCGCAACGCTCATCAACACGGACGCTCTATCCGGCCTTGAGGAACAGCTCGGTCCCCTGACAAATCTGCCGGAGTGGACGCAACTGTGCAACGAGTGTCGAAAAGAGCTTGTCCGCCAACACGCGGAGAAGCAACGGGAGACATGGGGTAATCTTCTGGATATCCTCGGTCTGAGGCACCATAGCCTCAAGTATCGATGGTCGGGCCTCATGAGCTGTAAGTGATCTTCGGACCTCGCGCCGTGTGTGAAGGCTCACAGTTCCGTAGGGTCTCACTGACCTAGCAAATTTGGACTCGAACTTTTGTATAGTTTTGATATATCCTCATATCTCGTACGCTCAGTGGCTCGTTCATATGCGGGGGGATGGTAGTCGTCGAACTGAAAGATACGTCAAGACGCCCCGGCGTCCGCAATCAATCCCTCCCTCTTGTGCTGTCCCCCGGAGCTGTAGGGCTCGTGACATGATGCACACTTACGAACACACCTGAAGCTGTAGGGAGCGACAGGATATACAGCTGTCTGAAGTCTGTAACACAATATCCAAATATATAGTTCGAAGAGAACTCAGACGTCTGTGGTCTGTGGTGACGATAAAACTACACACGGATAAATAAGCAGAATGCGCTCAGTGCGGACGGCTGGGGCGGGTACACAAGCAGGGCGAACACGGCCCTTACGGCAAAACGGGACGATATGAGGCTGGAAAGCGAACCCCTACTCCGCGCGGATCACCCCAATCGTGGGCTGGATGCTCGCCTTGGAAGGGAAGGCGACGTTCACGAGGACCAAGCGGTTGAACTCGACCCTCGTGCCGTCGGCCTGGTGCAGGTACATGCCCTCCTGCGCAGCCTTCGCCTACCGGTTCGAGCTCTCGCGTCAGCACGAATCATACCCAGGCAGGGAGTCAGCGGTACCAGTGCAGTACGCAGTTCTTCTGCGATGTACGCGGCCAGTTTGCCACGGGTGATGACCCGGCTATAATCGTTCCCAAATCTCACTGTGAATTGGGGGCGGTCGGGCTGGTTAATGATGCTCGGAAACTGATGCTAATGAGCAACTAGGCACCGAGCGGGGAGTGCCGAGGTACATACCAGAAGGCGTAGGGTCAGCTTCTTGCTTTTGACTATCCCGACGTCGTAAGCGGCGCGCTCTGCATCATCTACTGAGGATCCCGCGTCTCGCAGGATGTCAGACAGCCGCATGCCCCCATACTTGATCTCAGGCACGTTCGGCGGTTGTTGAGCGTTGAATGGGTCCTGGGGGAGAATCTACGAAATAAAGAGCGTTGAGCGTCATGTATGCACTCGACTGTACTGTATACATATACCTCGATCTGACGGCCTCCAGGCATGACTGACGCGGTGTCCGTCGCGGATACAAGCTTCCAGCAGCTGTCGTGTTGCTTGACATACTCGGCGAGCAGCGCGCCAGTAGCAGGGTCGAGGATCGTCGCGATGACTCCGTTGTAGAGTTGCGTACTCTGGCATGGTCGCTGTAAGCAACAATATTGGCTGTGTAGATTTGGACGTACATCGAAGGGAAAGTTAACCATCACAGGGTCCGAGGCAGTGGAGGGTTCCACCTTGTAGGACCCGTCCCGTTGCTTGATAAAGACGGTCTTCAGATCGTCGTCGTCGCTGCGTGTAACACGGGTGCCCTCGGGGAACACCGCGTCGTCATCCTGTGCGTGCACCGCGTGAGCTCGTGCCGTAAACAAAGCGGTTTTAGAAAGATGCGCACGATGTAAGGACGAGGCGGGTCGAAGACGTTGAGCTGGATGGAGTCTTGAGGTGTAGCCATTGCGCTATGGACTGTGGTAGGGAGGATGCTGACGAGCAACGCATTTTGGTCCATATATACGTCCTTGTCTTGCATGATATCCATCGCGGATGGGAGCTGCCCAGGCGGTGGAGGCTACCGCCCACAGATGCAGAAACGCATAGGAACCCACCGTGGATAGAGAGATATCGCCATCGTTCGTATATCTGGAGTTAGTCACCTTGCGGGCGCGGTACCACTGAGTGAAAGAAAGATAGATGGTTATCTATGGCGGGCGGAGAAGCATAGCGTGCGGAGAAGCAAAGACCACACTCACAGTATATATCCACCTACCACCACTCGAGTATATCCCTGACCGCTGCCACTTGGGTACGTCCACAGCCACCACCGCTGGGGTAAAGCAGTGAGGGCTCTCTATCCTGAAGAGCCTGCGAACGGGGGTACGTCACCGCAACTATGGGATATCAACCAATGGCATTTTGGACCGTTGGCGAGTTACGGTACCAGGCGCGAGGTTGATGTGGCATATAACCCGATTTTCCGACCTGAAGAACGATCGCGTATCAGAACGATGATATACCTCTTCCAGGTGCTGTTTCCGAATGAGGGGATTCCATTGACGCCTCTCGATCCTGATATCAGCGCGACGAAGCAAATGGACTTACCAGAGAGTTCTCGCGGATATCCAGACACTCGTGGATTTCGCTCTGGTCTATCCATCGACGAATGTCTCTCGGTTTATGGAAGACGTCCTAGGCGGGACCCGAGGAAGACCTATATGGAGCACGCATGCATACATCCACAGGCTACCGCGCTGGCCGGTATCGAGGAAAGGTGGTCATAACTAGAAGGCGGCGCGTGACGCTACGGTCATTTCTATGGATATTGACGCCTACCAAAACCAAGTCTCACTTGATGAGTATCGTCGAACATGGATCGATCCCGTGCCCAAAGGCCCCGGCCTGGAAGACCTTGACCCGGTGCTTACTTTGCATGCCGGCAAGTGGCTCTGATGGACATAGTAAACACATACCACTACGACGTGCTCATGGCTGGTTATGAACGCCGCTGCCATATGCGTTCATTCCTGGCCGAAGTGGCTCCTTCGCACAAAACAGGGTGCCCAGGCTGGAAGTTGTTCCTAGCGAGGAAGGAAACTGTTACTTCAACCGTACACGGCTGTGAGGGACCTTTGAAGACAATCGTGTAGATTGAGTACGCGCAGTCGTCACCAGGATTTCGTAGAACCTTGTCAACTGCAGCAACGGAATCACATACCTTCACATACAAGCACGTACCAATAGCCTATACGGTCCACTCACAAAGATGGGCCTGGGTACGTCCACCTCGGGGCGTGTTATCCGCGACTTGCAGTGTGCCCCCCGCTCACGCGTCATACAAGCGCAGACGGCACGAACGATGATGGGATCAGCCCACATGCTCCTCGCCACCTTAGCGTAGCAGTTCCTGTCAGCTTTGCATGACAAGACGGAACCTGGTATATTCCCTGAAGTAGTTCCCGAACAGAGCGTCGTTGTGCAATATTGTAATGGCCGGTGACAGCGCGATGACAAAGAAAATCCTGTCCAGCGGTGTGCTCTGAGTGAGAGTGAACGTAGAAGGGGCGTGGGGGTGGAGCGAAGGGACGAGATCAGCAAGGGAGGAGGAAGAACAGAAAGCGGGAAGGTCGTGGCCAGGAACGCTGCGGCAGAAGGCGAGCGCACGTGACACGAAGACCTCCTCATGTCGAGGCGCGAGGCGAGTCGTTGCGGTGGGAGCTGAGTGCGGATGACTCTGTTTGTTCTCTGACCCTCACGACCACCACCACGACACCTTTTTACTGCACATACCCGCGCAATGCACGCTTGAGCTGCCGAGGTCCACTGGGCCCTCCCCTCCTCAAGCAACGACACCCACTCGCCTCCGATTTCGACCATGGATCCCCAGGTAGAAGATCGGCAACAGGAAGAGATTACCGCGCTCCAGGTCCGTCTTCGACCACGCCACCCGCACATGCCCTCCTTCTCACACTCATACAGAGTATTTATGACCAAGACTTCACCGTACGCGAGGCGAAGGCGTGGAAGGTGAGTACAGACAATGTTAGGAGCTGCGGTACAAGCGCTCATGCAGATCTTCCGCTCAGGGCGCACAACGCCTCGCCGAATTCAATATCAAAGTCGCCCACCCCCAAGAAGAACATGCAGAACATATCTATTTCTATCTACACACTATGTGAGTTCTCTCTACCTTGCGCAAGCCCATCCGAGCCACCCCCAAAACTCCTTTGCCCGATTCCGTCAAAGTCGGATGCACGGGCGTCTATGCATGTGTGCCTGGCTGTCCATGCTTAAACACCTGTCGATGAATTGTCGGAACCGTTCCGACGATCCTCTTGGGATGACGGAATGCGCACACATACGCCCATCATGCTAGTTGACTAATTGTGTTGTTATATTTGGCATTTGTCGGAACGACTATTGCTTCCCCACGCACGGAATTCTGCTGACACTCGTTGTGCATCACAGTTTCCCCAAGACATATCCTGTGCTAGCATGCCCTACGTTCAGAGTTGAGCAGGCTACCGGGCTCAACAGAGCTCAGGCAGCGAAGTTGGAGCACGCAATACAGCAAGAAGCGCAGAAGTACAAGGGCCAGGAGATGGTTTTCCAGGTAAGTAGTCGCCATTTGCATCGCGTACATGGTTCAAGGTTCTCATCTTCTTACAGATAGTGACTTTCGCTCAAGAATGGATGAATGAGAACGTCAAGCCTCCCAGCGAGGTTTCCGGCTCTCTTGCTGTGCAGATGAGTCGTCGCGCCGCCGAACAGGAGAAGGTCAGTCCTCGCAGCGCGCTTGACGGGAGTGCTGTCTGATCTCATGTACTATAACAGGCTAAGAAGCAGCGAGAAGAGGAGGAAGCTGCGGAGCAGCAGCAGCGTGCTGCGGAACTCGCTGAACAGCTTAACGAGCAGATCCGCGAGAATGCGTACCAACAACAGCAGGAGCGCGAACGCATGCAGCAGCTAGCCCGTAAGCGCGCGATGTCGGATGCGACGACGGTGGGGCCCACGGATGATACCATGGTTGAGAGCCCGGGCCAGTTCGAGGTCTTCGACAAGGAGATCCACTGGAAGAATGCCTCGTTCAACCGAGTCAGATTGTTCAACCCACGTCAAGGTGAGTATACCGCTTGCCTTTCAGGAGGTCTGGTGTGCTAATGGAATCGTTTGGTAGAGGGACTAGGGACTGTTTACCAGGCAGAGCCCGTTGTGGAGAAGTCGTTCGAAGCGATTCCGCTCGAAGTCATCTCGATCACCTTCATGTCCGATCATTACAAGCGGCCGCAGGGTACGTCTGCGTTGTCCTAGACAGATCACACATATCTGACGTCTCCCAGGTCTCAAGAAGTTGAAGGAGCTCGAAGGCGAGATTCGGCGCATCACGACGATCCGCCACGTCAACCTGCTCGCGGTACTGGGGGCCAAGCTGATCATCCCTCGCGCGCCTGACAATCCGCGTCTGGTCATTCTCACGGAGCAACGACCTTCAGTCACGCTACATGACGTCCTCGAGGACACCGACCATCTTCGTGAGGACCGCACGACGGTATGTATGTGCCACGATACTGGTTAACTGTGTACTAAGCGCTTCTGCAGGATTATCTTGGGCAAATCCTGGCGGCGATGAACACCCTTCACGCGGCTGGGATCATGCACAAAGGTATGTCCACCGCATATAGTCTGAGATCACTATCATGACGACCCGCAGGTCTCAACCTGAAGTGCATCGGTCTTGCGCCGCGCGACAGCTATGGCCCGAACAAGCTCATCAAGATCTTCAACGTCTGCTATCACACTTGTTTGCTTGCCCTGCATAGATCGAACAACATCGGGTTCGCCGGCGATCCACAAGTCGAAGACATGCAGGTCCCCGAAGGCTGGTGAGTGTGTGCCCCCGCCCTATCGCGTGATGCTTGCTAAATTACTTCGTCGTCGATAGGACACCCCAGGACACGACGGAGTCGACCCTTGTGTTCACGAAGGGCAGGGATATCCATGCTGTGGGGATCGCTCTTGTTCAGATGCTCATGGGACGCGACGTCATGGACAGGTTCCCCGATCCGCAGAGTGCGCTGCATACCAGTAAGTTTCGTGTGTATGCCCGTCCACACGTCTATTCACTAAACACTTGCAGCCTCCATATCTCCCTTCCTCCAGCAGAAGGCCGCGATTATGCTTTCTACGACGAGGAAGAACGGTGTTTCCGCGCAGAGCCTCCTTGGGGACTTCATGTCTACGTCGTCGCAGTCCACGAGCCATGTCCGCACTCCGACTATCCCTTTCTCGGGTACGTAGCATACCCCTTCGAACATGAGTCCCCTCTAATCGTATACGCAGGCCCGAAGACCCCGATGGTCAACGGCTTCTTCACAGGATCTCCTGAGACGGATTACTTCAGGATGCCCCCGCCGAAGCCGAAGCACGCAAGCAGATGGAAGGAAGACTGGGAGGAGCTCGAGCTACTCGTACGTCTACGTCCCCAAACGGCTGTGATCGATCTACCCATTGACAGTCGATCCACAGGGCCGCGGCGGCTACGGCGAGGTCGTGAAGGCGCGGAACCGGATCGACAACCGGATCTACGCCGTGAAGCGGATCAAGCTGCGCAACGTGCAGAACGACAAGATCTTCCGCGAGGTGAACGCGCTGAGCCGGCTGAACCACCGCTTCATCGTGCGCTACTACACGACGTGGGTCGAGACGACCGAGGACGGCTCGTCGACGGCGAACTCCGACGTGGACTCGAGCATGTCCGACAACACGACGGACGGCATGACGTCCGTCCCGCACGCGTACGGGGACCGCAGCGACGACACCGCGGAGGACCACATCACGACGTTTGATATGAATGATTTGGACTCACCGAGCAAGCACTCGTTCCCGAGCATACACTTTGGCTCGCATTCGGGGGACGATGTGGGGAGCGACTCGACGAGCGATAGTGATGATTTGTTTGCAGATGAGGTATTCGTGACTGCTGGGAAACCGAGAGCGATTCCGAACAACGGGAATGGCGGTAGACATGTTCCGCCTCCTCCCCTGCCGAAGCCTGCAGCGCGGATACTGTACATCCAGATGGTAAGATCATACCGTTATGCTCTTCATTCAATTGCTTATCATCCACAGGAATACGTCGAGCGGCAGACTCTGCGGGAGGTTCGTGATATCTTGTCCCTATAATCTCCTTGACTGATTATGGATCATAGCAAATCAACGAAGGCCTCGACGAGCAGAATGCCTGGCGGCTGTTCCACCAGATCTTGGACGCGCTCGTTCACATGTCGAGCCTTGGCATTGTAGGCGCTCTGCGAGTTTTACTATTTGCTATCACTGACGGTATCCATTAGCTGCATCGCGACATCAAGCTGACCAACATTTTCATTGGTATGTAACGAAGTTTTCATGGCCGTTTCAAGGGGCGCTGACGTCGCTACAGACGGGAAGGGAGATGTCAAAGGTATGTATAATTTTCGATAGGCGTCAAATACGCTATGCTAACACTTGACCAGTCGGAGACTTTGGTCTTGCAACGTCTAGTCTCGCCGCGGTAGATCCCTCGGATGTCGCGCCAACCATATCTAGACACGAAGATGTGACGTTAGGTATGATCTACGTCATGACCCCTCGTTCCGGCAGCTCACATACCGTATCAGACGTGGGCACCGCACTTTACATCGCGCCAGAACTGCAGTCTAGACGGAAGGGTCCACGCAACAGCGCGAAGGCTGACATGTACAGCCTGGGGGTATGCGTTCCGCGTGCATTTCCAATGACAATGCCCGAGTTCTGACGTTTGACATCAACAGATCGTCTTTTTCGAGATGAACTACTTCTTCAAGACGGACTCCGAGCGCTGGACAGTTCTGCTTGGGTTGCGGGCGCCTGCCGTCAATTTCCCCAGCGACTGGGATAACAAACGCGCCGGGCAGCGCCAAAGTAAGTCTATCGCTCTAGACTGATGCACAACAACTGATCATAGTCGCAGTCATCAAGTGGCTCCTGGAGCACGACCCAGACAAGAGGCCTACGGCTATGGAGCTCTCGCAGAGTCCGCTGCTCCCACCCCGGTTGGAGGACGAGTACGTCAAGAGCGCGATGAAGCTCATCGCCAAGCCCGACTCGCCGCATCTCCAGGCTGTGCTCTCGACGCTCTTCAGTCAACCTGTCAAGGCAGTGCGGACGTATCTTTACGACGCCGATGCTGAGCCGCCTGAGCATTCCGCACTGAACACGCTCGTGATCGAGCGCCTCGCGCAGATCTTCCACCTGCACGGAGCTGTTGACATCGAGCCTCCTCTGCTTATGCCCGTGACGAATGCGAAGGATGATCGTAGCCGGGCGCTGTACCTTGACCGGCATGGCGAGGTCGTCACACTTCCTAACAACGCCCTCGTCCCGTTTGCTCGTGCCGCCGCGCGCGCTGACCTCAAGCGTATCAAGCGGTACCACATCAGCGACGTCTATCATCCCAAGTACGCCGTTCATTGGAAGGGAGTCGTAACCGCTGCTAATTGAGCTCCACCTGTAGCGTCATCGCAGGACATCCGAGGGCGTCGAAGGTTGCGGTATTCGATATCATCACGCCCGACCTCATCACGGGCCAGACCGCGGCTGCGTCCGAGGCCATCTCGATCGTGAGCGACTGCTTGGACAACTTCGGCAATCTCTGGCAACACTATGAGATTCATCTCTCTCATTCTCGGAGTACGGTACTCCCTTTTATCGAACTATACGTTTTTCTGACTCCATTCTTCTAGTCCTCGAGCAAGCCATGGAGCAAGTGGACCCGGAGATTCGTGCGGACACCATCGAGATCCTGAACCAGTCCAAGTCGTCCACCTCTCAGAAACGCTCAGCCCTGATCCGGAAGGGCGTGACGAGGTCGGCCAGCGACTGGCTTGAGGTGCTCTCTGACACGTGTAAGCTTCGAGCAGCTGCATACCGTGCCCTCCGTGGCTGACATTCTTTGAGAACAGACGAGTCGGTTGACGCCTTTGTCGAGCGCCTGGATAAGTCATTCCCCCCGCTGCGCGAGCTGCTCGACTCGTATATCCAAGACATGAAGACGACTGTGCAGTTTGCGAGCGCCTCCGGTGTCACACGCCCTATGAAGGTGAACCCGCTCATGCTCCACAGTCGCACACCGTACTACGCAGACGGAGTGTGCTTTGAAGTCGTGCGGAAGAACAAGTACTCCGACGTGCTCGCAACTGGTGGACGGTACGACTCATTATCCGCATCTCGTCCCACTGAGACTCACATTTGCCCAGGTATGACCATGTGATCAGGCGGTACTCCCCTCCGAAGCCCAAGGCGGAACTGAGCTGCGCCGTCGCCGTCCAGATCTACCTGGACAAGATCACCGTCGCCCTCGCAGCGTACCAGAATGCCTCGCTTCGCACGCTCCTCAAGGAGCAGAAGTCGTTCGGGTACTGGAGCCCCCGGCGATGCGACGTCTACGTCGTGTCGTACCAGCCGGGATACCTCACAGAGCGCCTTGAGATTGCGGCGACCTTGTGGAAGCACAACATCAGTGCGGACGTGATGTACGAGGCGTCTCTGCGGGGCTTGGGTGAGAGCGAGAACCATGTCGAGCAATGCTCCCGGGAGGGAATTCTGTGCGTTGGTATTTTTTGATACGATGAGATGTATACTGACGGCAGCGTAGCTTCATCGTGCATGCCAAACCTCGAGTTGGCTCGGCACTCGTGTACAAAGTTAAGAGCGTACTCCGAGGCACAGAGACTGAAGGTTTGACGTTTCTCACTCTTCCGGAGCATACCTTACTGATATTTGCGCGCAGTGTCCCCACAAGAGCTTGTTTCGTTCCTGCAACAGCAGATCGCAGAGCAGAAGCGAATCGACGCGACTACTTCCGGCGCAGCGATGATCGAGAATGGGCAACCGCTGCCGGCCACAAAGGAGCCGTCCTCCTCTGGGGAGACGTTGATGGTCCTGCCAGGCGACATCAAGAAGCAGCGCAAGGGGACCAAGTCGGTTATGATGAACAAGGGTAATGCTTCCTCACCTGTCGTTTCGGCATGTTCAGCTCTGACCTCGATCTTTAGCTCACGATCATACTGTTGCACTCAAGAGCTCCCTACCACGCACACGGACTATCGCAGTAGACGTCCCGACTCTAGTATTCGAAGAGATGGCGAAGAACATGGACTGGCTTTCGAGCGACGAAGCGCTGCGGACAATTGCTACGGGGCTCCCCGCACAGTACGGCCACTATGCCCACCAGATTCGGGAAGCGGTGAACAAACAGAAGGGGGACGGACGATATGTGCTACTATATGGGATCCGCCAGGAACGACTCGCGCTGCTCACTTTGACTTAGGTTCGATGCTGTATCTCGTACTATGCCTGTTTCTCTCTCTCATCTGTATCCTACTACATAATGATCCCTGACACGTCCATGCTATATATTTCACGCCCCCCTCTGGTTACGAGTTTCTCGCAATACATCAAATGTTCGTTAACGTCATAAGTTGTCCGTGCAAAGTCCGACGAATCAAAGTCCTGTGTGTGTCTGCGTCTGTGCTTCATAGACCGAGGAGAGCCAGTAACTTCGTGAAGCTGGGAGTACCCAGACCGGTCACCTGTATGTCGGTCAGTGTATGTCGTCGACGCATCGCAGGTCACACTCACCGGGTCCCACCCGACAGCAGTATCGAATCCTCTCGGCAGCTGAGGGTTAGTCCTGTCGCATATGATGGAGTTGTTCCCAGAGACGATGTCCTTGAACGACGCCGCGGCTTCAGAGTACAGCCACGGGTTCAAGAACCCAAGTGGCGGCTTCCCCGCGGAGAGTAGGCGATCGTTCAAGAGCGCAATGATGCTCGCCGTGACGGGACTCGACGCGCTCGTGCCGGTGATCCCGGTGAGCCCCGCGGCGAAGATGATGTACCCGTTCGCGGCAGCCGAGATGTCGGGGAACGCGCGACCGGTGCGGTTGAATGCGCCCGCGTTCTTGTCACCGAGCTGAGCAAGGAAGGTGTCGACAGCCGCGTCTTGGTACGAGGGCCGGGCGAAGTAGTTGGAGAATCCACCGGAGGAGCCCGGCCAGCTGACCTCATTGGGGAACCCAGATGTGCCTCCTACCGAGGTGACGCTGTGTGACCAGCATTGAGAACGGTTATTTTGAGTAAACTGGACGGAGTGACTTACTAAGGACAGTTTGAGGGGAAGGTAGCCTGGAAGACGAGGTCGTCCCCTTCGGCAGGGCAACCGACACCACTGTCTCCCGAAGCAAAGAGGATGGAGGTGCCCCGGGCGCCCAGTTGCGCGTATGCCTTGCACAACTTGCTACGAAGGACCCATGTTAGATCACAACGTAACGTCAGAGAATAGGTAGACCCTTACTCCGTGAGTGCAAAGGAGATGGCGCTTTCGGTCATTCCGTAGCTCGTGGTGAGAACTTGGGGTGGGTTCTCCTCCGCGAGGATGGTGTTGACCTCGTCCAGGTACCCATCAAGCCCATCATCTTGGAAGTCGTCACCGAGGAAGTAATACGTGACCGGGACGTTTGTCGCGAGGCCGACGGTATACTGGATGTCGAGTTCCTGTTCTCAAGCAGGTCATTTTCAGTTTTTTAGAGATTCCGATAGATGGTTATCACTTACACCCTCCGACACTGAAGGACCTGTTTGGTCATTGGTCCCGCCGTCTATACCCACTACAGAGAATGTGATGGACGAGTTCATGTCCGGCCGGAACATCTCCAAGAATTGCTACCATCGTAAGCACGCGTTAGTTGATTTGATGCCGCCGCGTGAGAGGCAAACGAGCCAACCTGCAAGAAACTGAAGTGCGCGCTGTTCCCAAACCTGCCCGTAACGCCGAGGCGATTGCTTGCGTTCGTTGCGGGTGTAAGAGGAATGTCGTACAAGAACTGCACGCATTCCGGGATCGTCTCATCTGTGCAGTCTGCGGTCAGATTCCGCTTGGCGAGCCGGACGGGCTCCACAGAACGCTTGATCCCAACTATCTCCCCCTTCGCGACGGGGGCCGGGAATCTGCATACAGAAGTTACCGCAGTGTTCAAGCGACAAATGAAGTTGACGAACGAAGTCGTGGGATGGATGAGATCGACGTGTCCCTGCAAACTCGGCGGCAGGGAGTAAAGCATGGTCCGGATGGCCTGCTTGCCTGACGTCCCGTGCTCGAACACAGAGAAGTTAGCGTTGAAGAGGGTGTTGGCCTTTCCGACGGGGACCTCGAATCCGACCCAGTCTCCCGAGGGGGAGAGCGCGGTACCATTGAGACTGTTCTGCTGCAGCCACGCATTGACAGCGTCGACTGCTGCGGAGCTAGGCGCGACGAGCTTCTCGACCTGTGCGCAAGTCGTCAATAACACGATGAGTGTGAGAATCGAAGTTGCTGACCTCTGATTTCGAGAGATGCTGTCCGTATTGGGGACTCTTCGGGTCGCTGACCTTGTACAGCGCGTCCACTATGGCGTAGGGAGTGCTCTGAGCCAGTGCGAAGCGTAGCTTCAGAGTCTCCTCCGCGGGAGCAGGTCCAGTATTGAAGAAATCCAAGGGAACACTCGACCTCGCCTCATGGACATTCAGGCTGCTGTCGGTGTATCCATCAGGGTCAAGCCGTCTACCGTGAGCGTCGCAGGACACAGGATTTACCGCGGCCACCGCAGCCCACACAACGAAAGTGAGTAAGCCCCAAGAGTTGACCATGTTCCCCAGACAGAAGAAGCAACCAAGTGGAGGAGGGAGAGGTCGGCGGCGAAGAACAGAGACGGCGAGCTTTGACTCTTGGGGACGCTGCATTTATGCAAACCTAGGGCGCGCTTCTGAGAAGTTCGGCCATCAGGCTCGTTGGCACGGAACACTCAGGCGAATCGTATGGTACTCACATCAAGGCTTACTTACGAAAGTGCGACCTGGGCGCAGCGGGGAACGCGCAGCAATGCAAATGGCACAGAAAGCCGAGTGTGAAGCGAAGTCGAACTATCCCCGGCGGTGCAGCTACATCCTCGCACCTGGCCGCGTTCACCCCGGCATTGCTTCCGGTCGAAGCGTTCAACGCGGAGAGATATAGCCGTGGTAGGCCCTATTCGGCGGAAGTTCCGGGTTGAAATCGTAAACTGTATGAGAAGGGAGCGTCATGGGATGCTATCGCAGCTGAAGGTCGAAGCACGGTATCCCATGTAGGAGCTTGAGGATGATTAGATGTCGTGTATGCTTGGAATCGCCGTGGCCTTCGAACCGTACACTCGCCTGCACCCCATGCTAAGACAGGGCCACTCCATTGGTAATGGTCGGGGAGATCGACTTCGAGGAGACGATGAGGAGAAGTTGACGAATCCGACGAATCAATGGACTATCTCCCGTGAACATATTGGCAGTTGCAATCAGTCATGATTTCCCTGCGAGAATACTATCATAAGCAACCTGAGCGTACTGGAAAGGTCTGTGCCATACCTAAACTTGACTCTTCGCAGAGTCATCATGGGCGCAATGAACATGGGGAATACGGAAGACTCCACGCGAAGCCCAAATCAAAGAGTGAGCTGATTCAAAAACATTCCGACACGGGGAATCGAACCCCGGGCTATCGCGTGAGAGGCGATAATGTTAGCCACTACACCATATCGGATTGAAAGAAAGGGCGATATAAGGTGTCTCAAGTAGCCACTTCAGTAAGACGTCATCATAACCCGGGCCAAGCGGAGACCTCTGAGCCTCAACAAAAAGGTAAGTATTTCGTACGCAATGGATTGTAAGGGGCAAAAATAGAATGCAATCGAGCCAATTTCATGGCAGATGGAACCAAGATTGTAATGTATTGGCGCGTGAAGGGTCCTCCTTTCCAAGTGCGAGAATTAATCGCAATGGGACAAGGAAAGTCGCAAACGTACAGAATATATACGCCAGATTAGGGGTGATTCCACCTATTCTGACAGAATGAGCGACACTTCCAGGTGACAGAGCTGCTTATGATCGAAATTGCGCGAAGCCGGACTATCCGCCGACGTCAGCTCGCAGAGGGTGACTCTTGCTTGTTGGATTTTGGTTTCGAGCGAGCGCCTGCTCGCCGGCGCTTGCCGAAGCGTTCAGTATCGTGCGCGAGACCCATTTTGTACGCTATCAGGTTGCCTTCGTACCACGCTGCCGTACGGGACAAACGGAATACTACTCTTTTCTTACTCCTGCCGACGCTCTATCGATTGCTCCAACAAATCTCACTACATTGGAATCCCTTGCATTCCCGCCCACTGAAGGCTTGCCGGAAAGGCGTCTCTCACGGAACGGCGCCAATCCTCAGCCCACAAAATGACTTTTTGCTGATGGATGATCATTGGATGTGCAACGTTCAACTGCTACATACCACCATCATCTCTTGCATATGGTGCGTGCATCAGCCTGGTCAAGCGAATATATTCTCTCAGCCTCCAGGTAGATCCTTCTCAGGCCTCCATGCTTTGGCTCGCTGCCCAACATGTCTCACTGGTGCTCGCGTATCCTGGATCTGGCCTGCTAAGGAGCTCGTGGCCCTGGAGACGTTCATACCCTACGCTCGGGATCACTGATGGTGATGTACAAACCAGTGCCCTGGACATCGCGCTGTTGTCTGACGTCGGTAACCTCTTTACCGCGGGGGACCCCGACGACGTCTAAAAGCTCGCTGTCGTCCAAAAACCGCCCTCGATCGTCTTGTCCTGGTCGACGACACCGTATCCTATCCGCTCTTGTTAATCCTTGGCTGGTCCGTTTTCTTCTTCTTTCGACGCGTACTTTGCCTTCTGTTTCCTTCTATTCTTTCCAATGGCTCCCTCCTCCAAGAAGACTCAAGCTCAGAACCGCGTTGCTGCGAACTACATCGCATATGGCCCTCGAGGCCTCCCCCCAGCACTGCAAAACCTCGATCCCGAGCAACGCCTGAGGCTAGCCAAATCCAGCCAGAAAATTGGCAAGGTGCTCGGTGAAATGCCAGTCGTTGATGTCCTACCAGCTTCTCCAGGAGCCGAAAGCCTCGTCTCCACGGTGAGGGGCTTCGACACGCGACCACTCAACGTTCAGAAGAAGGGCAAGAAGGCAAAGAAGAATGCCCCTCCTCCCGCTCCGGTCATGCGTTATAGGCTCCCTGCAACTCGTCCGTGGGAGATCCTTGTGGAGGATGCGATAGAGACCAGCCTGGCACCGCCGAGGCCGATACCCGCCGCTCTCAATCTTTCGTCTCCCTCGAGGATCATCGACAATCCCCGTATGTCCGTCTTTCATAACGGCTGTCGGAAGTAGGTCCTGTTTGTGCCCACTTGCTGTCAGTGATCGCTAACTCTTTCAGAACACCTCTTACGCCCGAGTATCTGAGCCCGTTGACCCCGCTCTCCCCGCTTTCCCCCATCAAAACCCCAGACATCCATGAGCACCGGATGCAGACCCTCCGCCGGCTCGCGCGCATGTCCCGTGCCTTCCGCGACACCATCTACGAGGAGCTCGTCATGCCCTCCGTCGGTATCGTAGCCGCTCCAGATGTCCAGGATGTCAACACGTACCTCGACCTCTACCGCAAGTCAATATGTCCCCCACGTCGTTCGCAGATGCTCGCGGCCGGCCGGCGCCGCAGTCGCTCCGTCGGCGACACGCAGCGACGCAGCGTCCTTTCCGTGTCCGTCTACAGCGCCAGCACGACGCGCACCAGCTTCCTCCTCCCGCAGTCCGCGGTCCCCGCGCGCCTCAGCCGCGTCTCATACGTGCTCGCGATCGGCTCGCCCGCGCTCTCTCCCTCCCTGTCCGCGTCCGCGGCACTCGACGACTCGCCCCTGCAGCAGCAGCAGTCCGTCGCGCAGGCGATGGCGGTCATCCTCGGGGCGGACGCGCAGGTCATGGAGTCCTTCCGGCGCGGGTTCGCAATGCGCTCGTTCCGGCGGGACACGCGCCGCCGCTCGGGCGCGCCGCCGGGCACCCCGCTTATGTCGCCCTTTGCGGCGATGAAGTCGCCGAAGGTGCCGTATTGGGTGCGGAGCGGGTATAGGGCGCGCGACAGTGCGCATGCGGCGGGAAGGAGGAGGCGTGCGGGGGCGTCGCGCCCGCCGCCGACGCCGCGCACGATGCGGAAGGAGCGTAGGCAGGGGTGGGGAGGCACGTGGGACGTGGGGAAGATGGGCGCGGCGGTAGAGAAGCTCAAGGAGGCTGATGTGAAGGCGAGAGCAGAGGAGGAACCCGTTACAGCCCCTGAGATGCCCGTCGATAAGACCACTCGCGATGCTGAGGACGCTCTTCTTGAGGCTCTCGGTGACATGGAGCGGGAGCAGCCTCTGGAGGAGGCGGCTCTCGCAGATATCACGGAGGCTGAGGAGGAGTCGCTGCTTGCCTATCTTCAGGAGGACGCGAAGGACGTTAGCCCTTACGCGGGCATTGAAGAGGACGCTTATGCTATCTAGGTTGTTGTTGTTTTGGTCGTATACCCGTGTTGTTTGTCGCGGAGCGTCGCTCTCTATATATGTTGTTTATTATTTCGTCGTCGACAGGGCAGCTTGAGTCCGCATCCGCGGCGAACGCCTGGCTCTGTATTGCCACGGGCGAACAAGTGAGTTGGACTGTGGCAATGTCAACAAACATCGTTCGCCATGACTTCGCATGCCGTCGTATTGGGGGATAGCACGCCAATGATTCGGTAACACGATGACGAATCACTTTCCAGACATTCACAACTACACAAGCGTACTATGCACACCCCTTTCAAACGGAATCTCACGTCTTCTCACTACAGTGGACGCCGAAGGAACCGCGATAGCCCCATGAAGGTCTTCGCAGCCGGAGTGGCGCCACGTACATCGTCTCCTCGCAGCCGCGGGAGACGCGACGGCGAAAGGTTCCTCGACATCGTAGCCGCTACCGACGTCGAATAAGACCTGAAGTCGGAGTAAGGAAACTGCGGCATTAGCTGAAGCTGGAGCCCCTCGGAAGGTGAATTTACGTGCCTAGGGGTTCCCGCCGAGTGTCCTGGTGGAGCATTTCTAGACATGCCCGGGGTCGAGCTGGGCCCGGGACCGCCACGAAACGTGCTAGAGCGACGAGTAGTGAGCATATTGGGGAACGTCTGGAAGGAAGTATAGATATACTTGCGTGGTGTTGGGTTCGATGCTGGTGGCCTTCAACTGCTGAAGCTTGTACTCCTTGATATCTGCGAAGTTGACATTCCGCCGTTCGAAGAAGACATGGTGCATGTACCAGCGCGACTCTTCGGTCTGCAGCTCATCGAGAATCTTCTGCTCCTCGGGCAGCAACTCATGCAAGGGCAGAGGGGCGTCGTAGTCGTAGAAGACGCGCCACGAGGTAAGGTAGCCGATAAAGACGTCGTGCTTGGACTTGCCCATGGCATGGGGACGTGGGTTGTCGAGCATCCCGGTAGGAGGGTTCACGATGAAATGTACCAGACCCTCTAGGAAGGTATGGTACTTCGGCACCAGAATATCGGAGTTGGACGGATGGAGGGGAGGGACCAAGGACTGGAAGCGCGCCTTGTCCCGGACATCTAACGCGAAGTAAGACATGGGAAGCAGCAGGATGTATCCGGGAAGAGGCTCGAGCTTGTACGGCTCGTGATCGGGGATGTCGAGATGGCGCAGACGGATGGACGTTGGAAACGGCGAGCTGCCTTCACTCGACCCTGAACGTATCTCGGCGTAGTCCCATGCGGGGACGGTGGGCACGTAGCGGCCTTCTTGAAGTATGGCAGCTGCGGTTTCGAGCAGTTCGTCCGGTACCAGGATCTGCTGGTCGAAAAGTGCGGTGGCGACACGGTAAACGTAGCATAGAGCGTCCTCGGCCCATATGATGCAAGGAATGCCACGGGAGGTGAGCTGGCGTAGCGCAACGAGTCGTCGATGTTGCTCTTCCGGACCGGGAGGGCAGTACTCGTAGAACTCACCCATGTTTGCAATAGGCAGATTTCGTGTGTACTAGGTGTGGACGCACTTGTGTACACTAGCACAAGTATGTTAGGAACAGACAAAGCTTGAAAGATGCTGACCTGACAAGCGGGACCGGGGCTTACGTCGGCGCTCGAATGGTACAAATCCCGAGGCGGTTTGACTCCGCTTTACGCCGTTAATGGCACTCATAATCGGGAGCCGACCGAGGATGTCAATGAGAGAGCTTCTTTGTCGATCACATTACTGAGTCATGTCACATCCCACAGTGGCGTAGAAGCAGAAGCCAAAGTCACCGACTCCCCGATCGATCCAGTGAGTACGTGCCTAATGTGGAAGTGGCGTCGAAACATACCTTCTGTGACGCGATTGCTTCGTGGAACGGTTTATGAACGGTAGCAGAGATGATTGGTATTGGCTTGCAATAAGGTTTTTTGAATTGAGACCGATGGCTCCCCGAACTTCCTTCCAGGCGTCGATCCTGTCCACTCGATCATCCTTTCACAGACGCGAACGTGATACCGTCGAGGATGCAGGAGTGCATATCAGACCGCGTTCAACGTGAGATGCACTTTTTTGTTTCCCTTATCCCCCACAACTTGTACTATATGATCCTGCAAGTGCCGACAACGCCTGGGCCTGGTATAGGACAAGTCTGCGCGCCACCTCAGCAAGCTGCCGTTGGGGTGACCTGGTGTTGAGCTCGTTGTAGGTGCAAAAAATGTGAGTCTTCTGTGTCACGATGTGCGCAAAGTACCAGAGGTGTTGATAACCTGTCTGCCACTTGAAGCAGTCGAGCGGACTCGGTCAGGATGCCATGCCATTGCCGTCGCGCGAGACGTCTATGACGTAACCACGGCGTGAAGGCAAGAAACACGATCCCGTGACGAACGCGTTGTTTGCGGGTGTTGCCTGCGACGCGGTTGTGTTCGCGGGACGCCTACGGCGCCAAACAGGCAGTGTTGATGAAGTTCGGCTTTCCCATCCGCAGGTTCCCCCCGCTTCTCTTGCTCCTTGTCGACGCAGACGATTCGCTCAGCCCAGGATTCCTCCTCGGTCTTTGGTTTCTCGTTGCTCCGGGGTGCGGTGGAGGTCACGGTGATTAGTTGGCAAAGCGACCTTGCTCAGCAGCAAGGTATGTCGTGTTGCTACCCTGTCGACTCTGTCGTCCTCACTCTCCCCGCCCCACCCTCCAGCGGTAAGTAGCCAACAGAAGGTATAACAGCAATTCAAGACATCAAGTAACGATCCTACGGTCTACGAGCATCCTGGCTTCACGACACGTTCAGGCATCCCCCATCTCACGCAACAACTCACGATCGCACATATTTCTCTGGCCTTGTTCTCTCATCTGTATTGACGACCTCACGCGACTTTCACGCGACAAGAACGACTCTGTTGTATTCACGACATTCCACGGTTTCCCTTAAACATCACGAAGCACCACAACGACTTAGACACGGACACTAGCACGATGCGTAACACTCTGCCCCTTTTGTCTCGTGCTCCCGCTCCAAGTTCGACCTTCGCCCGCTCTTCGTCCCCTATCCCTCCAGCAGACATCACCCCTCAAGAACATGTCCCCACCATCCGCCTCATCTCTGCCACTCCGTCCGCGGCAGGCTCCGCCGGCGATGCTAGCACCTCTTTCGCCAGCTCTTCCTACGCGTCCATCGCCCCCTTTGCCTCTTCGCCTCTCGCGCCCAAGGCCAGCTCCGATGCCGCCCGCAAGCGCATCGTGCCCAAGAAGTCCAAACTCGGGCTCCTCGGTGGCAGCAAGAAGGAGAAGGGCAACAAGGACTTCTCCGACGTCGTTCGCCGCGTTGGCGGTGCTCCCTCCACCGGCCGCGGCGGTTTCGAGATCTACGTTGACCAGAACGACGATCCGGAGCTCGCGGAGATCGTAGTGGTGAAGAAGAAGAAGTCCCGTCTTGGATTGGACGGCATGAAGTGGGGGACTCTTGGGGAAGTCACCAACGTTCCGGCGGCGCCGAAGGAACAAACCTCGGCTCCCGCGGACAACTTCCTCAAGGTCAAGGGCGACGAGAACCAGAAGTGGTGGAGCATCGGCCGCGGCAGGAAAGATTCGAAGGGCAAGGACAAGGAACAGAAACCGCCTGCCCGCTCGAAGAGTACGTGCTAGTTATGCTCGTTGCTGCAGGCAATCTAACGCGTTCTCTTGTAGCTCCTGAGCCTTCCAAGCCTCTCGAGAGTCGCGCGCGATTCAACTCGCTCGATTCTGGTATTCTCCTCAACAGCCCTTCGGCAAAGCCTCCGAAGCAAAAGCAGGGCACTGTCTCCTCAGTTAAAACCCTGCTGGAGGTTCCGGTGGTTGCAACTGCACCATTGGATGAGAACGCGTCTGCCACAAATGGGCTCCTCTCTGCTGGCGACGCTCAGCCGACTGGCTCCATCGCGATTCGTGCGATTCGCTCGATGCGATCGCTCGCACGCATGGCCAGCTGGGCACAACTCTCGAACGACAAGGAAGGCAACACGGCTCCCGCAGCCACCACGGACACGGTTAGGTCCAGGACGAAGGAGGAGAAGAAGACGAAGGAGAAGAGCGAGACGATGAAGAAAAAGAAGAAAAAAGACAAGGAGAAGACGAAGGAGAAGGAAAGTAAGGAGAAGGAGAAGACCATCCGCTACTCCGGCAGTAGCTTCGAGGCCGGCGCGCTCAGTGCGCAAGCCAGCCCTGCCCCGCTCAGGACCGAGGACGGCCCGCGGACACTGAGCAGTCGCAAGAAGCAGAGCGTTCTTGGCCTTGGTCTCCCATCTACGCTTCGCCTAGGGACGGTCCGCGATGCCTCCGGCTCCTCAACGGCTTCAGCAGCTGGCGTCCCTCAAGCACCACAACGGCTCTCTGTGGACTCTGCCCACCTTATCCTCAATGCGCAGGGTCGGCCATCGTCCATCCTATCGAGCGGCTCATCTCTGCGTCCTCCTTCCACTGCCTCTGGCATCTCAACGTTCTCCGGCGGCCGCTCGCCGCGCTCGTCATCAAGTTCCGTCGCCTCCATCCGCTGGGACGAGGCGGTCCTGAAGACCGCCAAGGAGAAGCAGCGCAAGGAACGGCGGTCGCAACGGGAGAAGGAGAAGGACAGCGGGAAGACCACCAGCCGGCGCACTTCGGACTCGCGCCGCCGGACGCCCATTTCGGAGATCTTCCCTCAGATGCAGATGCAGCGCGAGCCATCGTTGTCACCGCCTGCGTCGATCATGGAGCGCCCGATCGTCAGGGTTGAGGAAGCAACAGCAGACGGACACTCGGCACCGACTGATGACGAACGTGAGGTTGCGAGCGAGGCACCGAGTCCCAGCGGGACGCCTGTCAAGCGCGCACGGCCCCGTCCGATGTCTGAGCAGATGCTTGGAAGGCCGCGACCGCAACCGATCTGCGATGAAGGCGACGGTGACGGTAAGTTTTTGTCGTTCGCGGCATAGCCAATCATACTCACGTTCATCTAGGTGTTTTGTCGATCCTCGACGCCGCTACGAATGACCTGGCATCTCTCATCAACCGTCTGGACCTCGAGGCGACTCCTGCGAGCACGAACAACACTCCGCTCCGGCTGTCGCCCTTCCAGACAGTGCAGGAGAGTCCCCTCAAGTCGCGTGCCACGCATCGCGGCAGCCCACTCAAGGGCGAGCTGCGCGAAAGCACTGCATCTATTGCGTCATTGAGGCCGTACGCCAAGTCCCAGCCCTCCGCCGTCCCCGCTACGCTCTCGTCAAAGCCCTCGACGCAGCGCCCGCAAGGTGCTGTGCTCGTGGGCCAGCAGATCGCGCCATGGAGCGAGCTCGACTGGAAGGTGTCCCCGCGCAAGCCGCTCATCAAGCCCAAGGCTGCGCCTCACCTCACTCACAAGCGCACGCTCACGCCCTCGCCTTCAGACCCTGCACCAGTATTCCTAGCTCTGCGGCCCGCAAAGCTCAAGGCTTCGAGCTCTGCTCTTTCCACCTCGTCCTCAGTGCACACCCTCACGCCTCCCGTGGGCCCTACCAACGAGGGCACGCCTTCCTCGCGCACGTTCGGCAACCGTCCTTCCAAGGTCGGCGTCGACATGGCCAAGCTCGAGAGCACCGAGGTTGCCGGGTCGCCCACGCCGGTGTTCAGCCGCGTTGGCGGACACCACCGCAAGAGCTCGTCGCTCATCCCCATGAACAGCAAGGGGAGCGTCGGCAGCTTGCGCCGTATGGGTGTCCCGATGACGGCGGAGGCGCGCAAGGGCTTGGGCCTGTGCGGTACGCTTGGCGGGTCGACCGAGCCGGACGTCGACCCGGAGGACCCTGACTCTGACATCCCTGACGAGCTCCAGGTTATCCTCTCCGGTCAGTCTGACGACGACATGACGCGCCCGCTCGACGACACGTTGTCGTTCCGCGCTCCTTCGCCTGGTTCGCCCCCGAAGGCTGCGCTCCCGCTTCCTCAGACCGAGGTCGAGAGCGAGCCTGAGGAGCTCGAGCACGAGCTGCCGCAAGTGCCGGTCTTCCAACTGTTTGATGTTGAGGACAACCAGGCAGAGGTCGACGAAGGCGGACACGGGTCTGCGTCCGAGGATGACACCAAGAAGTCGTTCGACTTCACCGGCGAGCTTCAGAAGCTCAACGAGTCCGGTGGATCGGACAGGCACAGCTTCATCGAGCAGGTCGAGAACGCGTTCAAGACCCCCGCACGCATCGAGCTCGGGTTCGACTTCGGCATCGAGGAGGGCATGCTCGCCCCGCCCCTCCCTGCGCTTCCGCAGAACCTCCGTGTCGCGCCGTCCGTCGAGAACGTCCCGCAGAGCTTCTCGAACCTGGGCGACACATCGTCCATGTTCGGCTCGGACGAGACCGGCAACCGAGATTCGGGCATGTCGCAAGACCAGGAGCAGGACATCAGCTTCATGATGCGCGAGCTCGAGGACGAGTGCCGTGTGTACCCCGAGCTCGTGCGCCAGGCGTCGATGCGATCCAAGCCCTCGGACGGCTATCTGAACAAGAACTTCAAGTTCGGTGGCATGTCATCCCCGCAGAGCTCTGCGAACGACTCCAACTCGAGGCCGCTCACGTTGTCCGACATCATTCCGCCCATCACGCACTCCCGCTCGCACTCGCAGGTTTCCACGACGGAGGGTGACTCGGTCCTGAAGTCGATCTTGGCCAAGGCCGCGGACGTCATGCCTGCGGAGCCCACCAGCCGTCCACGCGTCGACTCGCAGAACAGCATGAAGCCCAGCCCTCACGTCTCCTTCCCTGAGGACGTCTCGCAGGGTCCTTCGCACGCACGCACCGAGTCGGGCTTGAGCTTCACCGGCTTCGATTCCTTCGACGAGGTGCGCCGCGGCTTCGAGTTTGGCCCGAACCGCCCCGCGTTCTGGCCGCCCAAGGACGCCGTCTTCCGCCCTGCGCACCATCAGCACGAGTCCCTGTACAGCATCGCGTCGATCTCGTCGTACGGTGCGGTCGTCAACAACGGCGCCCAGGACCCCTTCGGGTACGCTAATGGTCTCAGCCGTCCGCCGTCGATGGATGACGACATGTCGATGTCTATGTCGATGAACATGTCTGTTGACGACACGTTCTCGTTCATCCATCGCAACAAGCCGCGCACCCGCGTCGACAGCGACGCTTCCAGCTTCTACTTCCGTGCACCTGGAGGACCCACCCAGATGATGCACCCCTACCGCCGTGGCCACCGTCGTGGACCGTCTGCACTGTCTATCGCTTCTAATGCGCCTCCCGTCAGTCTGTACAACCGGAGCTTCGCTGGGCACGGTCATCGCAAGAACGACTCGAACACGAGCGCGAGCTCTGTCGCGCTGTCGTACGCGATGCACGGCGCAGCCGGCGGACGCGCGACCTGGGCGCAGCACAGCCGCGACTACTCCGTCGACTCGATCATGAGCGACTACTCGGAGCGGAACATGGCGCGCCCGGGCCTCGGCGACAAGATGTTCGAGACGTCGCGTGGCGCGCCGCTCAGCGCGATCTCCGCGTCACCCGAGAGCACGTACAGCGATGCGGACGGCGCGAACCGCACGTCGTGGGACTCAATCATGGACAACGACCGGTACCCGTCGGCCGTCGAGGACTCGCTGTTCGATAAGACGCGCAACCGGACGTCGATGTCGAACGAGTCGGTGTTCGGGTTCGACCCGTATGCGCAGTATGCGCGGCCCCCGCCGAGCCAGCAGTTCCGCCCGCTGTCGATCATGAGCGAGATGAGTGTCCATAGCCCGCCTAAGGAGGACGACACCATGATCTCGGTATGTTGCTCGCTCCCGGTCCTTTGCTTGATGTTTAGATTAATGTGCTGCAGATGCTCGGCGGTGGACACGTCCGCAGGCGTTCCGTGAGCTCCATGGTCGACGCCTCGCCCTGCGTACGCGTGGAGCGCAACAAGCATACCGCGCTCTCTGGCCGTGTTCTGCAGTTCGACCTCGAACCGCCTGCTAAGGAGTCCCCGAAGATGGCTACGCTCACGGAGAAACCTTCGATTGCGTCGACATCTTCGTACCAGTTCGGTGGCGAGCGCATGATCAAGGCCCGCCACGGTCTGTTGGAGCGCCAGAGTCTCGAAGATAGCGCGCTCATCGCGCAAGGCGAGGACCTTCTGGCATCTCGTGAGTTGTGATGTTTCTATGCTGCGAACTCAGGTTAAGCTAATTGTATCATAGTGCGTGAGCGTTCGATCTTCAGCAAGCCTGTTTCGGCTGCACGGTCGCGGTCGAGCACTTGCACCTCGAGCTCGTCTGGTTCGTCCGGCGCGGAGACGCCCCCGCTCTCGTGCTCCGATGGCTCCTCCATGTCCGGCGGCTCTCAGTCGAGCATCGATCTGGGCAGCCTGAACTCCATCCTCACCAACGTCACGCAGCCAAGCAGTGGCGTTGCGAGGGCGCGCTCGCGCCAGCGGGCCCGTGGCATGGGTCACCGTCGTCGCATCGACCAGGCGCGCATGTCGCGCTCGTCCGTCTACGAGACCATCCAGGAGGAGGCTTCTGTCTACTCGAGCTCGCCATCCGAGAAGCACCCGACACCACAGAGCGTTGCGAAGCAGTTCGCGAGCCCGCTGAACAACACGTCGGTGTACATCGTCGAGGGCGACAGCGACTCCATGTACGGCGACTGGGACGAGGAGACTGGGATCATGACTCTTCGCCATTACTATGCGCTCCGTGACGAGGCTCAAGAGACCGTCACGGAGAGCAGGCGTGTGTGGGTCGACACCCCTTTCTCGGTCTTTGCTCTGCAATGTAAGTTCTTTCTGCCTTTCATTGCGACTTTCATTGACGCGATTTGTCCCATAGCGTTCCAGCCCCCGAAGGAGCCCGCTGTGATGCAGGCTATGCTCGAACACTCGCAGAAGAGCTACGGCCCCCTCCCGTCGGAATTGCGTCCTCATCGTGTGCGCTCGAGGACTTCATCAAGGCCTTCACCGTACCCCATCCGCGCTGTGCATGCATCGTTCTCTCCGGAGAAGCCGCGCTCGTCGCCCATCCAGGTGTTCACGGACGCCCCGGCGAAGCCTTCCGCACCAGCTGTTCTTCAGCATCCTGTGCTTCGTGAGGTGCAGCGCAGCTCGAACGTCTTCTCGGCGTCTCCCGCTCCTGCGCTCGACAAGATCAAGCCATTCTCGCCCATGCACATCGAGCTCGACACCTCCAAGAACGGCAAGAGCGCGATGGGCCTGCCGACGCGTCCCCGCGTCACATCGAGCACGCGTCGCGCTGCCCTCGGGTGGTCGAAGCGCACTGGCAAGTCCAGCGCTCAGGACTCCAAGGAGAACATTTCTACCAGCAGCATGATCATCCCCACGTAAGTCGTCTTGCGGCACGTCCCAGTAGCTTCATACACTGACTTTACCTCTAGTCCGTCGGAGACGCTCAGGATCAACCGCCCTCGTCCTCGTGGGCGGCCCACTCCTGCTCGCGTCGCAGTCCCCGCGGCATGATCTTCTCCCATCACCCCTCCCCTCAGTAAATCACAAATCACTTTCCGCCGCCCTTCCTTCGTCCCAACGTCCGCACGCTCAAACCGCGGACGCTCTGCGTCATCCCGAAGAGGGTTCCGTGTCTATGCTATGAACCGACTGTCTATGCCCCCGCCCCGCCTCCTGATGCTTTCTCGCAGTGCTATCAGATCTCGGTCGCTATCTTGTACGCTTGCTTTCTGCTCCCCCCGCCGCCTGTACCCTGTCCGCCCGGCTGCCGCTGTCGTCGACGGAGGCGCTGTGGCGGCGGAGGCGGGGTTTTCTTGTCCATCTCGGAGTTGTGGTTCCGCGAGATGTGATTGTACATAGTTACACTCCTGTCTCGTATGCGGCCTCGGCTCTAAGTATCGCTCTATCTCATTTACTCATCTATACAAGCACTCTGTTGTTGTTTCGTCGATCGAATAAATAACACTTTGCTTCACAAATCCTTGAGTGATCAGAAGAGGTCCTAACACATAGCGGCTCGAGGGATATCTCTATGTTGCGAGGTATGAAATCGACAAGGCTAGTCGTACACTGTCATTTCGGAACGCTTTCCTCCCGACTGACTATCTTCATTCTACCGCGACCTCCGGCGACCTGACGAGGAAGTAATTCGCGCCGACAAGCTTGAGGCCGTACTTGCTGGCAAACGTAACGGGGTTCCAGCTGCGGCGCTCCTCGAGCGCTGCACCGTACTCGGGCTGGCCCTGGGGAACGACGAATGGCTCTGCAGATGCGGGCTCCTGAAACAGCAGGAATACTACGTCATTCGAAGGGCAAACCGTGTTAGCTGGGCGTATCGCCTGGCTGCTACGACACGCACTATAGCGATGCAAGCCCGAATTCGGGCGCGGGCCCGGAGGGCGGTACGGCGTCGTCGCAGGATGTGACTTGAGCGCATTCAGCGCGTGGGCCGCGTTCGAGGTGACCGGCGGTGATTTGAGACCGGTAATCTGGGTATTTGGAGTGAGAATCTGGTTTCGTCTGCACGGAATTCTACCTACGAGCCAGTGCCTGAACGTGCGGTAGATCGGCTCGTCGCGGGAGGGCGCGTCGGGGTCGAGCATAGCAAGCGTGTACGACACCTCCGACGCAGAGTCGTCCCACGAGCCGTTTAGCGCGGCAAGGCGGAGCTCGGGCTCGTCTTGCGTGTCCGCGACGATCATCTCGTTCCCGAGGTTGACCTCCGCGCCGTTGGGGTACACTACGGAGAAGAGCACGGAGGGCGTGAAGGCGAGCGTCTCGGGGAGGACATCGGGGATGATCTGCTCGCGCTCGAGTGCGGCGACGATCGAGGAGAGCGGGTCAGCGGCCATGTGAGTGTGTAGACTGGGATGCTTGTAGGTGCGGTGAGCGAAACGGTTGTGGTACGAGATTATGCTACGATGATAGTAGTTAATGCAACGCAGCTTTGTGGAGTGTGGTTCAGGATCACCTGAGAGTCGACGCGGAGCAACCGCGGAGCCTAGGTCCACCGTCGGGCCGCGACCCGTCCCCGGCAAGAACCTAGATCTAGTCTGCCTCGCAACCCAGTAGCCCACCAAACTTAAAGTGAATCATACGGTGTCCATCCGCCATACCCACTGCCTAGCTGCGTGTATGAGCCTTCCATATAGTAGAAGATGTAGGCGGCCGTTTGAAAAGCAATCACTGCTGCGCATTGCGAAATGTCCATGATTGCGTTTATCGTATGTCACTCATTCTCACAAAGTGTTTAACGCTGACTGAAACGCAGACACTTCGCTGTCATGCGACGAAACGTTAGGGGTCACTTCTGCCAACGCCCGAGCTTGTCAGCAGCCATTTTAACGGGGTAGTGATATTATTTTCGCACCTGTCCACCTGGTCAAAACATTTCCATATCCCACGAGGGCCACGGGCCCGCCCACTCGATCCCCAGATCTTGGTCCGACAAATCCAAGATCTCCAAAAGCTTTCCCCACGCCTGCCGCTGCTTGAGCTTGTGCTGGCTGATAAGCTCGTCGCGGCACTCGTAACACAGCTGCGTCCACTCCGGGAGCACCGTCAACTCTCCCAGTTGCTCCCGAAGACCAGAGAGAACGGCCGTGTTGACGAGATCCCCAAGCATGCTGGTGAATGTCTCGCGGAGGCGCTCCAGGTGCCGCGGGCAGGCGCGGGGCGTCATACAGCGGCGGGCAGGACATTTAGCGCTTGCTATGGTCCCGGCTAGCTCGCACGACTCCCGGAGCAAGCGTTCGCGCGCGCGGACGCAGCGCTCGATGTCATCTTGGCTGAGACGGACGACGCCGCCGGCTTCCCGCTCGATTCCGAACATGATTTCAGCGACATCGCGCTGGCAGCATTTGTACAAGGCAAGGGGGAGGATGGCAAACTTGCCGGTCAAACGTGCGAGGTTGACGGCCTCGAAGAGTTCCGCGCCCTCCTCGTCTTTTGTGAAGTCGAAGGTCGCGTCGATGTCCTCGCTGCAGAGCTGGAGCCAGCGCCTGAAGTCGGTGGTGAAGTACTCCTCGAGGTGGCTTGCGGCTTCGTCTATGACGCCCTTGATTTCGTATTTGTGGCCTAGGCGCATAAGTGCGGAGATCACCGGGAAGGGGATGTAGGGGGACATTTCCGTCAGGTATCTGCCAGTGGTGGGTGAGCTCGAATGGCGAACCTAGCGAAGTTGGACGCAACAGAACACGTACCCCCTACCGTCGTAGATCGCGCGGAGCAAGCACTTCATGTCGTAGACGCTGTCGGAGACGCGAATCCCAGGGCAATTCTCGACGATACTCGGGCCGCTGTCGATCGCGACGGGCTGCGGAACCATGAAGACGTCTCGGAAGACCGGCGACAGATGAGAGAGCAGGAGCTTGTGTACGCGAAACCCAGTGTTCTCGGCTATAACAACGATGCTGCCGTCCTCAAACCATAGGTCTGGATCGTGTTTTAATGAGCGCAGAGGGGTGTCGACTCTGTCGGCTACCGTTCGCGTTTCGGAGCTGGAGTCGACGTGAGTTTGGGCCATGTCGCCAGCGGCAGCCATCCAGGAGAGGCAGTGGAGGAGGAAAGAGTCATACTGGCCTACCGCAGCAGCGTCGCTTTGAGTTCAACGGAGTCTGCCTCCAGGTGTCGAGGGACGTGAACGTGGTGCGGCCAAGGTGCGGCAGTGCGGCGATATATAGCACTTCCAGATGGTAGCGCTGGTGCCGGCACGCGGAATCCGGTGGCCCGTAAGTTACTCTTCTACCATCATCTCCTCCGCGACGTTCACGCATATCGCCACAATTCTGCGGCGGCACGGCAGGGCTTCTGAGTGGATACGGATCGCTCTTATGCAAAACTGTGCCTACACAGTGACGGTGAGTACTGAGGCTCTGCATGGGACAGAAGGATTGGATCTGGGCCCCCTGAACCCACGTCATACAACATTGGATCTCGCTCAATTTTCTGCGACTAATAGTACAAAGCGACCCACAGACAGACAGATTTGGATATAATTTTCCAGACCAGCACTCATCTTTTGACGCGTTCAGGCTGCTCTCGCCGTCGAGTTTCAGATGATTTCGTTGGCCGTGCAAAGGACCTTTCAAACTCGTGAGTACGTCTTCATACACGCTTCATGTCGGCTTACCACTCCAGGAAGGAGGTTGGTGCAGAAGGTGTTGATGTCAGGGTTGTTCACCAGGAGGATCGGCAGCGTCGTCTTTGCTTCTTGCGCAATGATGTCGCAGGTGTCACCGGGCTGCACGACGTGGGTAATGTCGCAGTCCTGGCCAACGATACCGAGGCACAACGGCTAAGGATAGAGTTCAATTAACAATTGCGGCATGAACAGCGACGAAAGGAATGGACCTCGCCGACAATCAAGTTTTCGCACCCAGCGTCGATCTTGTCCGCGTTTACCCTCTGGATCTGGAAGCTGCCATCGATGATGTGAGTACCTCGTGTCAAAGAGCGAGCGTTGCGGAGGACTGACGTGGGCGTGTTCGTCTTCGCCCCGATGAGGTTGCAGGTATCCCCGGGCACGACTGTGTAGCTACGCGCACAGTTGGGCTCCTGCGCGGATGCTGTCGCCCACGGATCGTTCGTCAGCACCTGCCACGGCGCACATACGAGTCGCGGTCGCTCTCACCTCCGCCAATGAAGGCAACGGCGGCGACAACGGCAACAGCGAAGGCAGAGCGGGAAAACATGTCGACTAGTAAGTGAGGGTGCGTTGGGATGAGATGCTCGAGAGGGCCAGAGCAGTGATATTCAGCCCTCTCCTCGCCCCTCTTTTATACGGGTTGGGGAGGGCACCATGCATATACCGCTCGGCTGCCACGGCAGCTGCGTTCGTTTCGAATGACTTCCCGTGGGGAACATCTACGTTGAAAAGGCGGCTTGTCTTTGGTTTCGGCACACCCCTGATGTCGGGCAACGTACAGAGGGCCCCAGTGTTCCTGTGTGGTGATGAATCACGTCGAACAATGGCTGTGTCAAGGACGGCGGTCTCCTTTCAAAACGCCGAATGCTGCCGCACTCTCAAGGTACTGATGACGTTGTTTCCAGGAAGGGTCGCAGAGCCTTCTCCTGTTCAGTCGATGGGACCGAGACAGTCGCGAACAGGAACTCTTCCCCCGCGTCGGAGGCCCGCTTGAGATGGCCGACTGTCCTGCCGTGGCATTGCACCTAGTCATTTCAGTAGCGATGCCACGGACTTACCTGGACTATCTTTTTCAGAAGCATACAAGATTTGATGCCGACTGTACCGGGTGAAACTTTGTCAAGAGTAAACATGGAAGCATCTGTTCGGTCTTCGTGGCGGCTTTGGTCCCTTTTTGTCAATCTCCATCGCGCTGATATTTCAGTATGTTAAAGCCGGACAAATACGCGCGTCCGCCAACATCGTATACCACTCCTTACTCTTTGTACGTCGTCGTTATATATACTCTGATGCTAAACGACTTCTCCGGCCGGTCCCGAGGGTCCGCATGCAAACGGCCAGTGATGTACAGAAGCGCCAAATGACGCTGTGTATTCCCTGATAGGGACGGAAGCAGGTGCAACCGCCTCTACTGTCCCAGCTTTCGCAGTTCACCGGATCCTGATTTGCGTAGCACGGACGACTCACTTCACACGGCGCGATCTGCATAACGCGGGGGGCTCAACGTTCGCCGACGGTTTATAAATCACGCCATAAGGGTAGTTGATACAACGGCTGACGCATAGCGCGTGACACGAAGGCATCTGGTTATGTGGATTTCATGGACGACGTGGTCTGTATAAGTATATGGTCGAAGTCCTGAGGTTCACGAGCACGCACCATTACAGGGGTCGCCATGGCGTCTCCGGTCCCGATAGCTGAAAGATATCCGGGAGTCGCTGCCAGAGCTAACGGCGCTCTCGCTCAATCCATTCCGGGGTCACCCGGCCGTGCGGCGATCTATAGCTGAGTCCTCTTCAAACAACACCTCATTTCGCTCAATCTAATACAAAAAGACACGCAGATAGATAGAGCTGTGAATGCCATTCCCCAAACCACCACACTCACGACACCGACACGTTCAGGCCGAGCTCGCCGTCGAGTGCACGATGATCTCGTTCGCTGTGCAAAGGACCTGTTAAAACTGTGAGTATGTTTCTATGCACAATTCATATGGGCCTACCTCTCCAAGGTTGATGTTGGTGCAGGCGGTGTTGACGTTCGGGTTGTTCGCCAGCAGGATCTGCCGGGTCGTCTTCGCCTGCTGTGCAATGGTGTCGCAGTTATCGCCCGGCTGCACGACGTGGGTGATGTCGCAGTCCTGGCCAACGATGCCGAGGCACAAAGGCTGGGAAGAGACTCCGGTCAGCAGCTGTGGCATGACTCGATGGCGACAAAACAATTGACCTCGCCGACGAACAGGTTATCGCACCCAGCGTCGATCCTGTTCGCGTTCACCGTCTCGATCTGGAATCTGCCAACGATGACGTGAGTACTTCGTGACGACGAGCGAGGGCTGCAGAGCACTGACGTGGGCGTGTTCGTCTTAGCCCCAATGCCGTCGCAGGTATCGCCGGGCACGACCGTGTAGTTGCGCGCACAGTTGGGCTCCTGCGCGAACGCTGTTGAGCACGAGCCGTTCGTCAACATTGGCAGTGTTGCGCACGCGGGTTGTATTCACTCACCTCCGCTGATGAACGCGGCGGCAGCGACGATAGCAACGACCAAGGCAGAGCGAGCGAACATGTCGACTGGTGAGTGGAGGTGCGTTGGAAGGAGATGCTCGAGAGGCTGAGAGCAGTGAGGCTCAACCCCCTCCTCGCGCACTTTTTATAAGCACGTGTAGAGAGCGCCTTGCGTATACCGGCCGCCCGCCATGGCAGCTATGTTCGCTTCGAATGACTCGCCGTGGGGTACATTTACGTTGCAAACGCACGTTTGCCTTCAGTTTCATCAGACTCCTGACGGCGGGCGACGCACAGATTGTCCGAGTGTCCTGGTGGTGTGATGAACTGCGTCAGAGAATGGTTGTGTAAGGGGCGGCGGTCTCCTTTCAGGACGCCAAATGCTGCCGTGCCGCTGCAAAGACCCTAGGCGCTGATGGCGACGTTTGCAAGAAGGATCGCAGCACCTTCTCCAGTTCAGTTGACGTCACCGAAGCTAGTCACGAGTACGGTCGCTTCCTCCATATCGGAGGCTTGCTTGACATGAAGGATTGTTCTGCCGCTGCATGAGGCTCGGTCATTTGGCAGCGGTGAGAGTAATCTGCTCCGTATACGGATCGTTTGCGATGGGACTCACCTGGACTGTCTTTTTAAGGAGCGGGCGAATGTTGGTCAAGAGCAAACTCACTGCCTTGTCCGGATAGTCCCTAAAAACGTAGGTCTGGCAAAGAACCGTGCAAAGATAACTCTTTGTGGCTTTCTCCGCTGCTCGTTGAACGGCAGGAGACGACCTATGTACAGGACACGCATTCATGCGCAGGCGGTCGAGAAAAATATCGCAGTCCTACAGCAAGTCGATGTGAAGTCCTAAAACAAATTTGTGGCTGTACGTACAAATGATCTTTGCTACTATTCGCGTACGCTGCACGTACATGTCCGATGCGGTGGTCAAAACCTATGCGCTCGATGCTCCTGCACGTTGTGTAATCAACAGTCAGCGATCAAAGCGAGAAAGACAATGCAAACAGCAAGTGTGAACGATTTGCATACCTAGTCGATCACCAAGGCGTAAGGCTTCCGGAATTCGGTCCCACCAGCGCTGCTGTTGCTCCATGACCCAACCGCGGAATGCGGATTCGCATCCACTGCAGAGACGGTTCGGAGGGCCCTGGACCTTCGGGAGTGGAAGATCGAGAAAGCTTCGAAACCCGTACCACAGGTCATGCTCGTGGTACGCGGGCCAGACAACATCCCGGAGCCTCTTGATGTAGCGTAGACACGGGTATGGCGTGTCGTCCCTGGGAGCATCAACGCGATCTTCGGAAGGGGCGTATTGATCGACCGCCCACCAAGGGATGCAGCGTGGGCTCAGCATCTCTCCGTGCTCGATGGCGGTCGCGATCGTGCGACGACACGCTGCCTGGTAGTCACAGAGGCGGATGTACCGCCTGAGGTTCTTGTTGTCCAAGCAGGACCATCTGGCATAGCGCATACAGCTTGTGCCGTCCGTACACCTCTGCTCCCATCCGTTGTCTGTATCGACGCGGGCCAAGGAACAGAACGCGGCGGGGAGGATTTCACGACACCCGAACTCCTCGGCGAACATGATCGCAGACGCAGGATCGGGGATACGGTCCATGAGAGACTCGCTTTCTTCTGGCGTCCCGCACGCTGTCATGATCGCAGTGTCCAGTATTTCGAGCTCCCCGTCGCGAACGTTCCATTCTGTCAGGCTCTTTGGCCATTCTTCGGCGACCCTCTGAACGAGCCCTGCGCGGAGGCCATCGAGCAGATACTTGTCCGCAAGGCGAGCGATGCCGACAAGATCGAAGGCGGTCTTGTAACGCGAACGCCGGGAAAGATAATGGCTGACATTTTATAGGTTTCGAGAAGGTCTTAAACACGATACCAAGTGGCGAATACTCACTGTGGGTTGTAGATGCAGTCAAGGAGACCCGATAGATCGTCCGCCTTATCCGGCATCTCCAACATCGGCAGGTCGTCATAGGTCGGGCCACCCCCAGCTGAGGCATCGGCGAACAAGTTGCAGAAGAAGATAGATTGAACACCTAGGTAGGCTTTGTGCACCCGGTACACCTGAAGTCGACGCTCGCTGCTCTCAGCAGACGGTGGGAGAGGAGCACTGAGTATGACATCTCCAGTGGGATAGTACAGCTCTGGATGCCGTTCGTGCTTTGCCATAGGAAGGGTTTTGTTGAGACTCGATGAGCGACAAACTCGAGTGTGAATATAGAGAGAGGAGGACAAAGACGAGGAGGAATTCCGACGCGTCTGTCAGGCGCTGGACGAGCGCTCTTGCTGGTCTTGGCAGCGGCTTTCTATCAGGACACCGGATGAGTATGTGGCGGCGTCTCGTCGGAGCCGGGGTTGCCAAAATCCTTCGTATTGCACAGCGATTCCCGATGAACATGTAAAGCAAAAAATGGAATGGTTATCATAAACTACACGTCTGGATGATACATATTAGATAGGCGTATATTTGGGAAGTAGCATGCGCGAGCGGCCCCTGGGCGGAATGCTTTCTACTTCTCGAACCTGGAGCGCTGCTTAGGGAAACGTGGTCACTTGCTTGTTTTCAACCCCTTCGCTTGTGCTGCAAACCGACATGGGTCATTGAGGTAAGGAAGCGGTAGGGAAATGTACTCACTAAATATCGGAGCCGCTCCGCCGCCGCCTCCGTCTACTGCAGTGTAAAACTCACGTATAGGGGGGCGCAATCTGTAGCCCCTTTCCCGCAAGTACTCTGGTCCGGGCTCTATTGAGGCTCGGCGTACTCGTAGGATAGTGGGGCAGGTAGAAAGGCTGCCCGCACTAGGCGCGCGGGTTCCGAATACCCGCACGCCGCACGCGTCTATTTAATACATCATTATCTTATCTCTGCCCAGCGCGTACGGCGCTGGGCTCGTGGATGTACGATGCCCGTAACGACCCGATCCTGGGTCGTTACACTCTCCCCCTCTAGACACGACATACGGGTCGTGTTGTATAATACAATGGTGTGATGAATGCCTGCAACTCGTAGCAGTGCTAGCACCGAAATATACAAGGTCGCGCGCGGTGCGTACGCGACCCATTGGTTATATACAAGGGTGATGGAGGAGCCAATTGGGGCTCCTCGACGATACCGAACCACAAAACATTTATATACAATGTTTGGCTGCAAATTGGAGCAGCGCTACCGTCTGAATTTATTGTGC